TCTGTTTCTCCTGCCATGCTTAAGTTACTAATGATTTCGAGAATAAATTTTCAGGCTCTCTGCTCTGATATCGTGATCTTAAATTTATTTTTGTATTGGCGCAAAAAATAAACAGTATGTAGAAAAAATGAGTGTCAAATGAATTCAATACTTCAGCATACTGTACTTTCGGAAGTACAATTTGCAGAATGCGTAGCGTGACCGTAATTCCATGATCAATTTTTGGTCGCGTCCAAGCGCGAATTTTTTGTTCCTCTTAAACGCGGTCGAATGCTGATACCTAATCAACGAAAGGTTTCGAGAGCAGTGTACCTGATCTTCACAAAAAAATATGGACTCCACATTCAGCCTGATGCCTCTCGCTACTTGGAGGAATTGCTTCGGGAAGAGGCAAATGTCAATGATTCTCTTGAAAAGATCGTGAAAATGTACCAAAAGCGTAATGAAGGCATGTATACTCACCAATAATGACATGCTTCTGTAATTCAGCTTAGCTGATTCTAATAATGCTACCGAACTGAAGGAGTGAATGGGATTATCGTTGACAAAGCAAGCATTCAGGATGTTGTAAATATGATACAAGCCGCCACCGCTGCTGCTTCAAGCTCCACCCCTTTTAGTCAACCGGACGAAACTTTGAAAGAAAACTTGAGCCAGATGACCTTGGATGATGAAATAGAGAATATTGATGTTTCACAATATCTGGAAGTGGTAGATGCTTTCTCTATGCCTTCGATGCAGTATGACTATCACCGCAAAGGTTTTGTACAGTAAGTGAATACTATTCCTATGTCAAGAGGTGGTGGCGAAAACTCACCGTTAGTTTGTTGCTAGGTCTTCAGAAAAACCATCTTTGCTTTCAACTTCCGATGCAAAAGGAGACATATACCGAGATCGCTTCAATCTTATCCGACAACGAGTCTTGCGCAATGACAGCTTTCTGCCACCATCACTTCAAATTATAGATAGTGACTCCTATCTCAAGATAACTCCCATCAAATCACTCATAGGGCATGATAATGAACAGTTCCTACTTCTTGGCATGTTGACTCAAATCGAGGAAGGGAAGGTGTATTTGGAGGACAATGATGCCCATGTGGAGTTGGACCTCTCCCGATGTGTAAGTAGCTCTAGGAAGATGTAATCAATATTTGTTTGTATACTGATGAATGAACGTCGGGCCACAGAAAAGTACTGTTGGACTCTTCACCGACAACTGCTTTATTCTTGTCGAAGGTGTCTATGGAGATGATCACATATTTCACGTTGATGAACTTGGATTACCACCGCCTGAGAGCCGCCAGAAAACCACGTTAGTAACGGACAAAGTGAGAATTGGATTAGTGTGGCATTTCTAATATATCCCATTTCAACAGGTCAGTCTTTGGTCATATCGATTTTTTAGGCCTACCACCATTGAATATAGAAGAGGTAAATTCCTACACCTAAAACCAACAAATGCATGCAACTTAACTGAGAACAACAATTTAGAGTGTCTTATTGAGAGAAGAGAAAATGAACACAAATATTTCATTTGTGATAATATCGGACTTATGGTTGGATCAGCCTAAGGTATAGACGATGCCGATGGCTTTTGAACCAATATGGCGATATGACTAACCTTGTTATTCAAAAGATCTTGCGAGCGTTTCGACAAGTTCTTGAGGGTTACTCTCGAACGATCGTACCATTAGCATTTATACTTTCGGGTAACTTTGTCAGCCAGCCACTGATGTTCTCTGGAACAGAATCGACAAAATACAGAGGTAATACAGCCACTTTTTGATTTTCTGCGAGATTTGTTTACATCTTTTACCTGAAGACTAACTAGACTATCCAATTTAGAATCGTTTAATCTGCTGGCAGATACGATTGCCGAGTTTCCCAACTTAGCCTCTCATTCTTATTTCATATTCGTTCCTGGTGCAAATGACCCCTGGGCAGGTAATACCTTACCACGTCCGCCTGTACCAGATTTTTTTACGGCACGGTTAAGGCAGAAGGTCAAGCGAGCAATCTTTACTTCTAACCCAGCAAGGTGAGTAGCGTACTGTACGATGTGAAAGATATTGGCTCTATTATGCTCACTCTCGGGAAACAGGATAAAGTACTGTACGCAGGAAATAGTAGTGTTTCGCGAAGATCTGTTGAATCGGCTGCGTCGAAACACGTTGATACAAGGAGATAATCCGCAAGACGACAGGGATTTGACCAAACCGGTTAGTGGCCAACATTCTTACTAGGTGGCAAACTAGATTGTAGTCGTATCTCATGAATATTGACCTCCTCCTCTAGCTCATTCGCACGATTGTTGATCAAGCACATCTTTGTCCACTGCCACTCTCAATTCGTCCAATTTATTGTGCATATGACCATGCCCTTCGATTATACCCAATGCCGGATGTGGTTAGTGTTCAACTTCTTTGACATAGGGTGAATGCCTACTACCATCGACTAAACTTTTTTTTTTCCGGTCGTCAGCTTATACTTGCAGACCGATGTGATAATTACTCAACCAATTATGAGGGGTGCCACTGCATCAATCCCGGCAGCTTTCCGAACTCAGACTTGAATTGGACAACCTATTACCCAGCCATTCGAGATTCCGAAAGATGGTATGTTGTGCCGCCGTGGTGAAAGTTTTTTGAGGGGACAAGCAACGTAGTCTAACAATTTCTTCAATTACATAGTGCTCTGCCGTCAACGTGATTTAGTTTCTATAATGATGCATTACTACATAACCTCGAATCGAAATGCAAGTTGATAGATATTGTATCTTCGAAAATAAAAACCGACCACCTTAGACCAAACTTTCACACCACTGGATTCTAATTACCATTTCCAATCCTATCTAGAATTCACAGTCAAAATTGACACGTCGTTGCTGTTTTCAAATATTGCTCCAGGTCTAGGTATTTTAATTTTGTTGGATGCCGGTAATTCGCTTTAAAAGCACTAGCACCGACATCAATATAAAGTACGCATCCCGTATTGCTGTCCGCTGGCCACCCTCATGGCGATTACTGCAAGGGTGAAAGGGTGAACAAAACGTGGACGCTATTAGTTAGAGACGGTTTCATATCGATTGACTTAGACGTTAGTGTGGAGAGGAAAGTAAGAAAATCTGGAAGCAGTTTACTGTGATTACTCCTGAAGCTGCCATCAAACGAGCCAGGATCTGCAGCTGCATAGATGGCTTACTTCTTGTAACTTATGGCTGGCAAAAGCATGGACATGTGCAAGGTGACGTAGGCAAATTGGTTCTTGGATGTGTGGATTTCGTGTCGCATAGCAGCGTGATGAAACTCCTGAAAGCATTTATTGGAAGTTTGACCCATACAATCATAGCTTACAAACTGAAGTCACAGACATTATTCACATCAAAATGATAATGTGCACAAAAGACTTTGAATTATGACTTTAGGCGTTATTACTTGTACATAACGCCTGCTGCCTACCTCCAGTGCAGCATTACCTCGAGAAGAATGCCTACCTGTGAATCACACGCAGCCAAGTTTTTGAAAAAGGGATACCATTTTCGTTTATTGCGAAGTGTCATCGCATTTGAATCAAACAAAAGACACGATTATGCGATGAATATGATTCCGTGCTCGTTGTTCCATATTTAATCGATTAGCAAGTGCATAAGTTTTCAATTTTGAGGACAAGTACGTAGGGTGGCAGCTCTCTCGTTTACAAGAGTTTTTCAGGTGGTGGCGTCGAATTTCTGTGGGTTGGATGAAGGGCTTGTTACAATCACGGCATTTTCGCCATGATATTTACCCAAGCTTTTTGCGCCACTGAAACTGTAGAGGAGCGCATGGAGTCCCTGGGTGAGGAATGCGTTAATTATCTCGGACATGAGCATGTACTGCCTCTGTCATATCAAGGTGCTGGGCTACAGCTCGATAGAAACATCTCACAAGACAATATTCACCAAGCCGATTCTCATCTCTATTTTTGTCCAATTGGAGTGAACGGAACTATGTCCAGCATCGCTATTAAGCACCGAGTACGAGCCTTCTAAGCTTCACGTTTACCTCATGGTTCTCCTATGAAATGTCTCCTGGGCTATGATAGCAAAAGATTACTCCTTCTCCGAAAGGAGTCCTTTCTGTTTAAGGGCAGCCAGATTTATTTTGTAGGCGAAATTTTTGTAGGGAGACAGGTTGTCGATGGATTTAGCTCTAACTCCTGCGAATTCTTCTCCTGCTTTAAAATCCAATTGGGTATCTATGCCACCATAGTCCGAAGGTCAAGGAGTCGTTTGATTTTCTCACAGAGCCAATTCGCACTATAATTATCTTAACCTGCAGCAATAATCAAGAATTAGTCGGGTGTGTACATACTTCCTCAGGATCACCATAATTCTTAAAATAAATTACGCACGTAAAATAGAATAGTAGGAGGTTGCGCCTGCATCGCATGTCGCTTTGTAAGTAGTAATAGAGCGGGCTCAACAAGGATGCTGTAAGGAAACGTTCGATTCATGCATTACACATTGCGCATCTGCGACGTGGAATAAGAATAGATTTTCAGCTTTTTGACTTTTCAGGTGATTATGCGTTTACTAGAGGTAGAATTGCATCTGTTATAGAGATGTGGATTAAATTGGTGCTACCCGGTACGGCTAGAAGTGGGCACACATGATAACCTAAAATGGTCTATACAATGGGTTGAGTTGCCGCTGAGATCCGATCGCTGCTGTTGCATGCTCCAAATAATATTTACCCCAACTTCATTCTCTCCACTGTACGCAAATTTTATACAGCAGCAATTATCCTCATAATAACTTGTAACATGATGAAATGATAATGATCTTTATCAAATGTTCTATACATTCAAAACCGTGAGATTGTGATGGAATGCTATACCTACTAGGTATCAAAAATAGATGTCATTATGGAGATCATCGTTCATGTAGGAGAATGAGAAAGGAGTAAGATGGCTTTGTAACTTGGTGTTACGGTCATGGCCACCACAGCAACTCAATTCATTCTCCCTCTTGGTAATAGTCATATTTTTACATATGCCGAAGTGGTTGTCGGGCTGAGGTCAAAACCATATGGATGAGAATAGTACACGATAAAGTGGGCCATCGTACTCTATATAAACTGCCACTTCTTCAGCCAACCATTAATTTGTATCCACTGGTGTTTTTACAATCCTTCAGATTCAACACCCCTCCTCCCCTCACTTCATCTCCACCAACCCATTGCCTCTCCCTTGCAGCAAAACGCACGTACATTCATTATCTAACCGCATAAAATGAAGTTCTCTCTCTGCATTTTCACCTTAATTGCCCTCTGCTTCTTTGCTGCCACCACCAATGCATTGCCTCAGTATTCTTCTGATGTTGTCCTTGGACGTCGTGACATTGAGAAACTGATTCCTGAGCTTGAAAAGAGAAATGGTAAATCATCCCACAAGTGGACCAAGAAACAAATCCCTACTCTTGCTGCCGACATCATGGTTCAAATCAAGGCGAAGGTTAAGGCAAGCATTTTGGTCGATATCACTACCAAGTTCTGTGATGATATCAAGGCTTCTCTCGATATCAACTTGAAAGCACTCCTCGGAATTATCGAGATTGACGATGCCCACATTGCACTTGCTCAAAAGACTGTTGTCAAAGGACTTGATGGTAAGTGATTTTCATTGTAGAAAGATGTGATTCATAGTCTGCCATTCTTACATTATTGTAGTCAAGATCCAAGCTCAGCTTGAAGCCCAGCTGGATGCCCAAGTTTACGCACAAATTGAGGTTGCTTTGACCAAGGCTCTCGGCAGCTCCTGCGATGAGGCCAAACTTCTCAAGGCTTTGTTAGAAATTGATGCCAAACTTGCTGCTCTCCTCAAAGTCAAGCTTCCCAAAATCGCTGCCAATATCGCCGCTGACGTCAAGGCTGCTATAGACGTTGGTATTAAGCACGCCAAAGTCAAAATCCCTCTTTTGCTCGAAGTCGACATTTCCCTGAACGTCGATGTTGCAGTTACTCTCAAAGCTTGCGTAAAGGCTGTCATTTCTGCTTGCGCTGACATTTCCGCCAAGGTTTGGGCCCAAGCCATTGTCAATGCGGTAGTGTAGTCAGGAACATAGAGCCTAAAAGTACTCCACCTTTGTCCTGATAAATCATCCTTCCCAACCTACTCAATCCTACTTCACTCCAATCCATTACACCACCATCCAATTCCTCTTGTATTTTTTTTTTGACTGTGCTCACTACGCTTCCACTCGCTTTATCCCTCCATCCCTTTTTCCCAGAAATTTTAATGTCTCTGCGATTCACGTATTAGTAAATTACAGCTACACTTACTTTTTAAACACTGGCTACTATGTGGGAATTTGTTGGCGAGATTTTATGAACAAATACTGGATATTAGATTCATTCAGTACACTGATCATCCAACGGCAGAAAAAAAAATGCTGAAAGAACATCCAACATACTAAATCAATTACCCGAACAAATTTCCTGCATGCTGAAACGAGTGTTGATGGAAACCATAGACTATATTTACATCGCAATCAAATGATGTCTTTGCTATCGTAAGGTTGGTAAATAGCCCATGTTCCTTGAAGTGACATCATATGAAAAGCCTTTGTACTGCCAAGATAACCACCTAGTAAGTTCATTTACATTAAAGGGTATGTTTCTGCATGTTCTTTGATATACATTCGTAAATTAATGAGTTAAAATGAAAGTTTTAGTGTCAATTTCAGGCACCACAAAATTTTTGAGACACGATCTCCGATCTTTCATCCAGCTTGGTCAGTGTGCGAGTTTCAAAAAGCATCAAGCCAATATGGCTTTAGTACATAACGGTTTAAGATCTGTGCAAGACCCATTTTCTCGAAGTAACTGTAATCTCTTTTTCAATACACTAAACTATAAAACTGTTGTATCGCTGGACTCCACTTCAGGGGTGGCAGTGCCTGCGATCATTGTCAGGAAGTCAGACAATGCCAAGAAACTCCTGCGTAACGCCGCTCATCCGCGCAAATCACGGTGGATGCTGAAAGACCAAGACAATGAATTCTATATTCTGATTCTTCCCAAGCCAAGTTTTGCCAATATACTTGAATTTTCTATAATTAAATGCATGTCGGCTCACCGATATTAGTGATGAATGGAGACGGAAAGACTAGACAGTACCTTTATTGCTTGTAGCAAACAGCCCAAAGTTTTTAGTATTCACAAATAAAATACGATATCTGTATCACAAATGCTTTCGTCCAAGGACCTGGAATTTCCATCTTTTTGCTTCCTCAGCAATGATGTATTCGCCTGAGATTCAATTTATGGCACAATTGCAGTTTGCTGATCAAATTGGCAGCACAGAAACGCCACTGTCGTTGTGTCAACAACCGAACATGTCCATTTGCGGCACGTTTTCCTTGGCTAGTCAGCTATGTGGTTGAAAGCGAAGTAACTTGTAGAGCTACCAAACCACAGGAAATTAGACCATACTTTAATGTTTGTAAGGTGCCTGTTTTCGGTAAGATCAATTCATGGATAATAATATTTTGCGTACACTGAGACTAGGAGACGGACCTGGAAATATTCAAAGGTTGCATAATGCTCGCTGGTAATGTTGCTCAGACTTCTTATATATTTCTTGTCTTGTCTTCACTTTTCTCCTCTCTTTTCTTCTCTCTTTTCCCTCCCTATCGACCAGTGGTACCTTTAATCCGCCATGCCTGCTCAGTTATCTGCGCGGATCCTGATTCTAGCCTTCATAGTTCTGCTATACTGCTCTTCGCTGTTGTTGTTTTCTGGAAGAACCATCAGCTCAACAGAAGCAAGTAGCGACGAAGCTTTGAAGGTGGTTGCTCTTGCCGAAGAAAAGGACCACGAGGTAGTAATCGATGTTAGCACCACCCCAACTCAAGGCAATCAACCAGGCTACGAGTGGGACGGTTATATAGCCCCACCCGGCCTAGACTCAAATAATAAAGACGTTGACCCTGAACTGGACGTTGACAACGAACCGTCCTCTGAAGACAATTTGGCAACTTCATCCGATGATGACCAAGATATACCAAGTTCAAAGCTACCCGAAAACAACTCAGATTTAAACGTCTCAAAAGAAGACAACCCCGCAGCTCCGGCGGAAATTAATGACAAAGAAGAAGCAACCAACGGAGATGATGAAGACGAAGTCTTAGAGTTTGGTGATAGCAGCATTGATGGTGATAAAAGCAAGGATGAGAAAAAAGAAGGTGAAAAATACGCTAATGGTCCCAGCGAAGAAGAAGCTCTCAAAAATCCAAATGATTTTATGCCTTTGGAATTCGATAATAATTTGTGGGAGGCCAATCCACGCCAACTTTCGCTTGAAACAGCGGCCGTTTATCCCGCAAACAAAAAGAAGCCAAGCCCCTATATCAAAGACTACGCAGATTTAAGCGCTGAAACCCACAACTCTTCCCATATAGTGTGTAAAGGCAACAAATGCGAAGAACGAGCGAATGCAGTCATCGTTGTATTATGCCGAAACAGCGAGCTTGTTCCAATGCGACGCACTCTACGAGAATTTGAAGAGTATGCTATTTTTGAGACTGTTTAGCCATCATAAGAACCGATGCAGTTGGCTAACTTTTCTTTTCCTCAATATCATTTTTTTTAGCCGATTTAACCGGAAATACCAATATCCTTACGTCTTTCTCAACGACGAGCCATTCAACAACGAATTCAAGACGTCTATCAAAGCTCTCACCAATTCCAAAGTGATCTTTGGAGATATCAATGAGGAAATGTGGTCCTATCCTGATTTCGTAAACCAAAGTGTGGCAGCAAATCAACTTCAAGATTATCAGGCCCGAGGCGTCATGTATGGTAAGGCCGCACGCAATGTAATTTATTTATACTGCGAACACCCACTGACGTTACTTTTAACAGGTGGAAGTCTCAGCTATCGGCATATGTGCAGATTCAACTCAGGCTTTTTCTACAATCACCCATTGGTTCAGCCATACGAGTATTATTGGTAAGTCAATGGCGAAAAGGCTACTTTTCTTTCGTCAGATATCCCTTAGGAGCATTCAGTATTGACTAGACCTTTTTTAAGGCGAGTTGAACCAGGCGTGCATTTTTATTGCGATTTGGATTACGATCCTTTCCTTTACATGCAAAAGAATGGAAAACAGTATGGTTTCAATATTGCGCTGCAAGAAATTCCAGAGACTATTCCAACATTATGGGACCATACCATGAACTTTGCACATCTCAATCAGTTGAACACTACACTCCTACGCTTCTTTGGAAATCCAATGGATGGCTATAATCTATGCCACTTTTGGAGCAACTTTGAAATTGCTAATCTCAACTTGTGGCGCCGCCCTGAATACCAAGCTTATTTCCATTACTTGGATTCTACAGGCAATTTCTTTTATGAGAGATGGGGAGACGCCATTGTTCATAGTCTTGCAGCTGGTATGTTCCTGAACAAGAGCGAAGTACATTTCTTTGATGATATTGGCTATAAGGTAAGTAGTCTCAAAGACTAAGTTGGCCACATACCCAGCAAATATTAACTTTAATGCATTTCCTTTAGCATGACTCTTTTGCTCACTGTACTGATGACGGCATACATGGAAAGTGCATGTGTCCAGGTAAGGCAAAAATAGCTGAAAAGGAAGTTGTCATCGAACCCTTTTTTAATCATCTCCTACCAAACCATCAGAGGATACACCCAACTTTGACTTCATGTGGGGCTCTTGCTTTTCTGATTGGCATATATATCCTGATACCGGCAAGACGTGGAACTTCTTGGCTGATGGTCGACAGCAGTTGAACAAGGTCGTGATGGCAGGACATCGCGGTCTATCCCACTCCATGCAACCCAAGTCGAAGAAACCAGCAGCATCAACATCATCAACAACCTCACAGTCATAACATGTTTTCGTTCGTTCTTAAAACTCAGATTTGTAAAAGAAAAGCATCCGAGATTGTACCATAGCATATTCCTTTCCTAAGGCTGTTTTGCTTGTTTCCAACATTAGCATTCTATCGCATATTTATTTTCCTTCGTTGGTCTACCAATTACCTGAGACTGAGTCTCATAGTAGTATAATATACAAAGTAACGATAAGAAAAAGGGATGAAAGAAGTCTCTCTGCATTGTTGACCACAATGCATTTTATTACTGCTTAAGACCAATATCCTTTTCTATCAACTGTCCAGCAATAGGATGATAGAAGTCACGGTGTTCCAGGTAGGTGTCTTTGGCAAGCTGAGCACCGTTTTTAGCCTTGTAGAGCAATCTATACAATGGTCGTACGAACTTCATGCGGCCCTGTTCGGTGACGAACTTGACGACCTCGGGATAAATGGGTTCGAAGGAAGTCTGCAAGCAAACTTGTTGCCATCTGAATCGCACATCAGAGTTACGAATAGGAGTGAGATGGTACAACTCGTCCATCTTGGTAATCAAATGATGTGGAAGGGGTTCAGCGTCTGTCAAGCGCTCGAGGAACACGACTATTAAGAGAAAGAAGCGTAATGTGGTTAGAGGGATATCCTAATGACCACCATGAAAGCATAAACACTTGTAATCCTTACTCTTTTGGGCAGCTGTGAAGTTTTCTATATCCTTGGCAGAGAATTGCTTCAGGTCCTTGTCTTCACGAGCAGTATCCCATTTATGAGCGAGCTCGTAGCAGGCGTCTGCCAAAGTAGTGTCAAATTGAGGGTCGACAGGTGGCATACCAGTGCCACGTAGCCAGAGCTCAAAGTCAATAGTGTTGAGCTTATCTACAACTTCCTGGCCATAAGTCTTCCCCATGTAATCATAAAGGAATGTTTTCCATTGCTCAGTGTTGACAGTCTTGGAGGCGAAGTTTTCAACGTATGCCTTCATGTAAGGCTCAAAGATCTTGGGTCCACCAACAACCTTTTCGATATGATAAAGCAAGTTGAATCCCTTTTCTGAATAGAACAGACAGTGTTATAAGAATGATCGCGTTCCATTAGTTTCGATCGTCATGCATACATGAACAACGTACCATAAGGAATGGAGGAGAAGTAGTCATCAGGATCAATGCCAGTAAGGTCGGTGTTGAGGCGAGTAGCGGGTGAGTCAGCGCCAAAAAGCTCAACACTCTCCTTCAAAGCCTTCCAGCCGATAATGGAGCTGAATTGACGTTCAGCTTCACCGTGGATACGGCCAGTAATCTTACGCTCGATAAAGACTGTCCAACCTTCATTAAGCCAGAAGTGCTCCTACAATTGACCAACGAAAAATAGTAAATACAAGAACTCTTCAGCAATATGTCAAGAGTGGGCTAAGCCAAAACCTACCCAGCTTTCAGTAGTGACAAGGTTACCCATCCAGCTATGAGCGATTTCATGAGCAACGACATCAACAGCGCTCTTATCACCAGCGAGGAGAGTAGGAGTGACAAATGTGAGACAGGGATTCTCCATGCCACCGTACGGGAAAGAAGGAGGAAGGACAAGTAGATCATAGCGACCCCATTCATAAGGTGTCAACAATTGCTCACCAGTGGAAATGAATTTCTCGGTATCCTACAAAAGCATTCATTAGCAAGTCTCACATAGTCCCAAATGAGCCATAGCCTAACACAAATCTTACAGCAAATTCCCAAGCGGCAGAATCAATAACCTCGGGCTCGCACCAAACAGTGCTGCGAGGACCAATCTCGCGACCAACAAGGTTGCCGGCAGCAATGGCAATTAGGTATGAAGGAATAGTGGTACGCTGTTCGAATGAATACGCCTTCAAGCCATTTCCAACTTCCTTGACACCAGTATGCAGGGCAGACATGACAACTTGAAGTGGTGAAGTCACAACAGCAGAGTAAGTGAGCTTAATGGAGGGTGAATCTTGGCAAGGGGAGAGGGCTCTAGCATGGATCTGCAGCACAACGACATTAGTGGTAGGTGACGGAAATTTCCCACTCTTCAGCTACTTACGGGCTCGCATTGACTGAAGAGGTAAGGATTCTGTAGAATCAAAGGCCAGAATATTAGATACGATTGGGATTTTAGAATCACTTCGCCGCGCTCTCGGAGAAGATGCTGACAGAAAATTTTTGAAGCCAGAATTATTTACCTGCTTGCCTTCAGTTTGTGATGGCTTCAAGAATTGGATAGCAGTACACTTATCAGTGGTGGAGTAGTCTACACGAAGCTTGAAGGTGGTTCCGGCCTTTTCAATGGTAGGCAGTTCAACGGTCAAAGCAGAACCAAAAGTATCTTGTCTCTCACCAAGCGAGAACTAGTATGAAATATAACAGACATCGAAAATATGAATGAAATTGGCGAGATATTGAGTATCAACAAAAGTGTATTTTCGGGAAAAAATACCTTGACTTCTTTTCCTTCGTATGAAGCTTTAGTCACGTCCAAAAAACTGGAGTCGAGAACAACTTTTTCAACATTGTCTACCAAAGTGATCAAATCCAAGACAACGTAGCCGCTGAGGATCTTCTTCTCAAAGGAAATAGTCCAATCGAGATGCAAGTGAGTTGTCTTCACTTGGCTGATGTTTGATAAGGTGTTAGGTTCGCGAATGCCACACATGGTTGAAAAGGATCTCGTCTGCAGTACTACGAGACCCCAATTTGTGCTTGATGTCCCAGGATCCCGTGACCTTGCTGTGAAGACGCGGCGTTTGAATTGTGGCGCTTGTTGTTACTGGGACTTTGTTTGACCCTGTGTTTCCAAGTCTCAATGCAGTTGTGATGTTTGATGCATGGCCCGATGGCGTATCTGAGAGCGGTTTCGATGAGCATTTTTAAGGAACATGGACATAGAAAAAACCAAAGATTCATAGAAAAATGTTTAAACTTTAATGTACACGTATGCGAAAACGCACTGTTCGGCTTGCCCCATTGGAACACTGGTTCAAAACCGAGAAATCAAAAATTTTCTCCATTACTGAATCATGGCATTTGTCAAAAAATACATTGGCAAAGTCAATACATTGGGCTGCTTTTCATCGGCTTGATGATGAGGAGAAAACTATGGCGATTGCCTCCCTCAAGCTCGATTTGGCTGATCATCCTTTACTACAGCCGGTTTTAATTTTGTATGGAATGGAATTTCCTCGACTTTACTCTTTACTTCTTTTTGGATCTTTTTACTGGGGGGTTTTGACATTACCTACGATTTTATTGCCATCGTCTAGCAATACCTTGGTGGATTACAAAATATTGTGGAGACCTACCCCAGGGTGCCCAAAAAAATTTGTCGGTTTTATCTGTACAATTTCCCCAATATACATTTTCCGTCTTCTACATTCCCATTCCCATTTCTTGTACACTCACTCTTACAGCTCACATTGCCTGGTCGAAGCCACAGCATTCATATTGAATGAAATCTCGACCTTCGCTATCACTTGCTGGAATGCTACCTGATAGCTCAAAGGCTGTGTATCAAGAAAATGACGCTGTCGATTTCGACATTGCCATCAACGGCTACACCGACATCCAGCCTCATGGCCTAATGGCCTCCCGCTTAGCTGGAGATGCACGACTATACACTGCCATTTCGACCAAGTTAAATCAAAGAGTCGTCGTAAAAGAGTGTGACGCTAATCTTTACGATATGACCAAATTACGCCATGAATATAACTTGTTGATGAGCTTACCTGAAGATGCTCCTGCGATTTTGAAGCCGCTGGCACTTGAATCATCTTCAAGAGGCTTGATGGTGATATTTCCAAAGCAAGAAGGAAGGTTAACACTAAGGGAATTGTACCTAGAAGGACTACCTAAGCGAAACGTGCCCATCGCTGCCCCTGTTATGCCCCTGGACAAATTTTTGGATATGGCATCTCAAATAGCTTCCTCACTTGTGTGTATCCATGAACTCTCGATTGTTCACCGCAACATATCTCCCGGAGCTCTGTCTTGTGATAACAGTAACCGAGCAGCCCTGCACAATTTCACTTTAGCCAGCCGGCTGACAACCGAAGTGACATCATTCAGCAAATCCAATGCAAAAATTCTGGAAGGGAATCTACTGTATATGTCACCGGAGAGTACCGGCCGAATGGTAATAGATTGTTGCGAAGTACGGACGATCATGATGGTTTATTGATTTATACTCTATTTACAGAACCGGACGATAGATACGCGCTCCGACTTTTATTCCTTAGGTGCAACGTTCTACCACCTTTTGACCGGCCTGCCTCCGTTCGACACCAATGACCCTGTCGAACTAATCCACCAACACATTGTACAACCACCCACACCACCACACGCAATCGTTCCATCTATACCCACTCCCGTCTCCGATGTCATTTTGAAAATGATGTCCAAAACACCTGAAGACCGATATCAAAGCGCCAAAGGCCTTAAAAGAGATATTGAAATATTAATAGCGCGGAATCGTAATAACGACTGGCACAACTTCGTCGCTGGAGAAGTAGATCGAAATTCTCAATTTATATTACCACAGACGTTATTCGGAAGATCAAAAGAGCGGGGCGTGATCCTTTCGGCGTTTGAACATGCTAAAGAGGCGGGCGGCTCTCACCTGCTAATCGTCAAAGGCTATTCCGGGGTTGGCAAAACGTCTCTAGTCAATGAAATTCAGCGCCCTGTCATAAAAGCCAAAAGCTATATTGCTGCCTCTAAATTCGACCAATTTGGACGCGACATTCCATTTGTGTCCATGATCCAAGCCTTTCGAGACCTTATTCGCCAACTTCTATCAGAACCATTATCAGAATTGGAAAATTGGCGCAAATCAATACAAAACGCTGTTGGAAACAACGGACGTGTCATTACAGATGTTATGCCAGATGTAGAGACCATCATTGGACCACAGCCGGCTATTCCACTGCTTGGCCCAACCGAATCGGAAGCCCGATTTACCAATATCTTCCAGCGCTTTGTCAGTGTGTTTGGACGCCCCAATCGCCCTCTTGTTCTCTTTCTAGGTATTCATCATTTGTTTAAATATGTACGATCACTTCTTTTGTTACTTACACACGGTCTAAATTGTTATCTTTTAGATGATCTACAATGGTCTTCCAAAACCGAACTCAACTTGATTCGCAAAATCCTTTGTAGTCCAGAGAAGCAACATCTATTGCTTATTGGCGCTTTCCGATCAAACGAGGTATTGCCAGGAGATCTTCTTGCCGTCATTTTAGATCAGCTTGAAGAAGATCCAACCGTTAATATGACAACAGTCGCCCTCGGTCCTTTGGATCATGAAAGTGTACGATGTATTGTTTCAACGACGCTTATTGGACATGTCGATCCTATAAAGCATACCCTGATCGAAAGACATCAGTCAAAACAGCCCACAATGCACCATATCCAGGAGCTCACAACACTAATCTATGATAAGACAGAGGGAAATCCCTTCTTTGTATTACAGGTAAGTTGGGACTTGATACCATGACACTTCACAAGCAATTACTTATATTTCTTTATAGCTTCTGAAATCCTTTTACACCAGTGGTGACATATCTTTTGATTACGGCACGAATGCTTGGCAATGGGATATCAAGCAACTGTATACGAAGGAAATCTCGCCAAATGTCATCGATCTGCTCATCAATGTAATGTCTCAGCTGCCTGCGCCAACGAGAAACGTTTTGTTACTGGCATCATGTATTGGAAATAGGTTCACATCAGATCTACTCTCTATCGTGAATCAGAAGGATTTAAGTGCGACAGTCATGGATCTATGGGATAGTTTGGCGGCGAAGCTTGTCATTCCTCTAGATTCAAATTACAAGGTTCCTATGGCTTTCTTTGAAGAGCATCTGGAGTCCATCGATCAACACTTGCAGCTGGCTGAGAATGCAGTCATGGATAGCAAAGATGAAATGTTTCATCACTCACCGTCAATGATGTCTTCTATCGATGAGTCTGTGAGGTCAAAACATATTCTTTATCGCTTAACTCTCGACAGTGAAACGACAAGAATATCCAAAGAACCCATTGTGATACATTTCAAATTTTTGCACGACCGTGTTCAACAAGCCGCGTATAGTCTTATTCCTGAGAAGGATCGCCATAAGACGCATTTACAAATCGGAAGACTTATGTTACAGTATGCCGACAATCAAGCACAAACCGAAGAAAGCACTATGTCCGACGAAGAGCTTTTTAATAGATCTCGACAAGGTTTCTTTCAGCTCACGTCTTACTTGGATCGCAACATCTTTAACATTACCAATCAACTTAATGCCGGATCTGACTTATTGAAAAAGCTACCAAACAATGGAGATGAAATACGTCGGTTGATATCACTCAACCTTCGGGCTGGCTTGATTGCACAGCAAGCTACCGCTTACGATGCAAGTGTAAAGTATTTTCGACATGCCATCGATCTTTTGGATGACAGCTCTTGGGAAACCAACTATAGTACCACTTACTTTGTCCATTTCGGTCTTGCTGATGCTTTGTATCATGCCACTGCATTTAAGGAGGCACTCCATTGGTTTACCACCGCCTTAAATCAATGCCGGTTTGCAAAGGATAAGGCTCAACTTTACCACGGTTTACTTAAATGCCACATGGGAGACGGCCAAACATCCGAATCTATCGACTGTGTCCTGGAAGGGTTACAGATCCTAGGCTATGAACTACCGTCTACACCGGAAAGTATGGAATCATACTGCGCTACTATCTCGCACCGCATTGAAAGCATGAATGTTGAGGAAATTCGCAGCATGGCAAATCTAACACTCACCAAAGATGTCTTACATCTTGCGACCATTCGCATTCTTGTTAGTTCTATACCGCCTGTCTACTTTTCGCGACCAGAATTGTTGCCCTATATCATCTTAACCGGCTTAAATGCGACTTTGGATAACAATGTGGTACCAGAAGTAACATATATCTACACTCTTTATGGCTTATTGACAATTGGTACAGCCATGAACAAGTTTACGACACCGGAAGAGCTAGCCAATGTTATTGTCATCGCCTACGAATGGGGAAAACTTGCCGTTACCTCACTCGAAAAATACGAAAGAACTCTTGTGGAGTGCGCTACTTTGAAAGTATACGCTTCACATGTACAATGTTGGAACGAACCACTAGCGTAAGTGCTAAAGAATGAGAATTGCTGTCGTGGTAGATCATCCTAAAAAACCCCCGTTACCTCTAGTAATACCTATGCTACTTTTGAGCAATCTATTGAGGAAGGCATCTCTACCATGAACGGTGAATATGTCGGCTACGGCTGGTAAGTGTTGGATGAACAATTTGATATTTTAAAGTAAAATTACATCACTCATCACTATCACCCTAGCGTTGAACAATGCATGTATATGTTCTTCGCAAGTGAAGCTTTGGAAGGCATTTCTGACAGATGTGCTCGATACAAAGTCATCATGGAACGTTTCCGTCAGGAAGTCGGAAATGCATATCTACGAGTCGGATATCAAACGATTTTGAATCTTATGAATCGCGGCAATCCCAACCCATGCGACCTGATTGGCCAAGTATATACAGATTCCTATCATCAAATAGTACAATCCAACAACCTAATCTTGAACGCCTTTTGTTACGACTTGTTCAACTTGATATTGGTGACCACTTTCCGTAAAAAAGAAGAAGCGTTGAAGTTCAGTCGTTCGGGATTCTCCTCTATTGATGGAGCTATTGGATTACTGCATACGGCCATGTTTTACGTATTCAGCTCCATATCGTTTCTAGAAAACTGGAGTCAAATAACAGAACAGGAACGACAACGGGTTACAGATGCTATCCAACGCTGTAAAGGGTGGGCTATCAATGCGCCACAATTCTTTGAGCACAAACTCGCCTTACTTCAAGCACTCCACTCTGAATTTGCCGAAGACAATTTCCTTTGCGCTGTTGATTTATTTGACGCTGCTATTGATGGCGCAAAGAAACATGGATTCATACAGATCACGGCTCTTGCCTGCGAATTGGCTGCAGAATTCTACATGCGACGTGGAAAGCAACGCATTGCCAATGACTATTTGCTCGAATCTTACTACAACTATGTTCGATGGGGTGCTGAGGCTAAAGCCAAGGATATGGCAATGCGGTATCCAAGCACAATTGGCAAACACAGGCGTGAGAAGGCTATCGGCAGTGGTGATCAAAGTGGTCATTCTTTAGGATCGATGCTACCCATCAGTCCTGCCACTTCAGGCTCACGAAATAGGGTCTCTGAATCGGCCAATCCGTTTGAAGCATTGGATAACTCTTTTGTCAACCGTGAACGGCCGACAGCGAGCACTTCAGGCGGCGAAATTGTTGGCACGCAAATGGACAATATACCACCTATCTTTGAGGACACTAGCCCGATGTCAACAAATGACACTGTATCAGCTATCACTTCTCTATCTACTAGTCAATCCTATATTTTTGGCGAATCTAATACTATTACCAGCCTTGATCTGGATACCGTGATGCAGGCTTCCCTTGTGCTCTCCGAAGAAATTGTGCTGGACACATTATTGGAGAAATTAATGCACATCTTGCTACAAACTGCTAGCGCTGAGCGAGTAGTCCTACTCTTGGAAAAACAAAAAAAGCTGTTTGTGGAGGCGTCGGCTTGCCACTCTGACAAACGCCAAGTCACTTTAGCTGACTCTCTGTTGCCTCTGGAAGATTGTCGAGAGACTCTGCCAGTATCTATCGTTTACTACGTTGTGAACACCAAGCAAACGGTTATAAATGATACCAACCAGCCTAATTCTCTATTTCAAGCCGATGACTACATTTTAGCAAAAAATCCAAAGAGCATCATGTGCATTCCCATTACGCACCAAGGATTGCTAATTGGCGTGTTGTACCTTGAAAATACTCAGGTTTACAACGGCTTTACACAAGAAAGAAGGGATATTTTGCAGTTGCTTTCGTCACAAGCAGCCATTTCCATTCAAAAAGCTCGTCTGTATAAAGATTTGAATGATGCAAATGAAAACTTGACCAAGAGCCATGAGCAAATCAAGGAATACAGCATCGATTTGGAACATAAAGTCAATGAACGAACCATCGAACTGCAAGAGAAAAATCGTCGATTGGAACTTGAAATCGAAAATAGGAAGAAGGCTGAACAGGAAATGAGAGTAGCAAAAGAGCAAGCTGAACAAGCGACGCAGATGAAGAATCTCTTCCTCGCCAACATGAGTCATGGTAAGCTTTTGCTTTTCAATAGTAAACAGCTGTTTGTCGATGTAAGCAGCGGAACTAACGTATAGTATCTAGAAATTCGCACACCGTTCAATGCCGTTATCGGAATGACGCATTTACTTCAAGATACAGAGCTGGACACTCAACAAATGGACTATACTGAAACGATTCGAAACAGTAGCGAAGAACTTTTAAACATCATCAATGACATTCTTGGTACGCAAATCGTTTTCTACGCTGTAACATTTGTGGTTTTTTTTATTATGTATTCAGATAATTCATCATCTGACTCGTTTTGTTCTTTATTCCAGACTTCACCAAAATCGAGACCGACAAACTGGACCTAGAATGTCATCCCTTCTCACTCCGCTCTTGTGCGGAAAGTGTCATGGATGTTGTTTCAGCGAAAGCCGCTAGCAAAGGGATTGAAATTGTCTTTTGGAACCAGGATGGTGATCAAGTGAATGACTGGATTCTCGGTGATTCTACTCGGTTTCGACAGATTGTCATTAATTGTAAGTAGACTGTTTGAAATGGCATAGGTATTGAAAGTGATTGATCACTGACTAACTAGCTATCTGATCGTCTCTTTTCATCTGTAGTACTAAGTAATGCTGTCAAGTAAGTAACGCAATGACGACTAGGTGGCATAAATGTATATTAAAAAAAATGGATTGTCTAATCGAATTTTTTTTTCAACGTTCAGGTTCACTGACCACGGCCAGGTCATCATCACTGTCAAATTGTATACTAAGGAAGAAGGCCTGCAATTACAAAACAGTGGTGTAGCCAAGGCTTCCGGAGCTGGGATGTCCAGTACAGGTGAAACGAGCATTCCATTCCCTACTCCACCAACACATATGTTACACGTTAGTGTTTCCGACACTGGCATCGGTATACCTCCTGATCGATTCTTCAGACTTTTCAAGCTGTTCAGTCAAATTGATAATAGTACTACTCGCATTCATGGTGGCACCGGATTGGGTCTGAGCATTGCCGAGAGACTCTCAGCTACGATGGGCGGTTACATGTGGGTCGAAAGCAAAGGTACCAACCAAGGCTCAACATTCCATTTCACCATTCAAACAACACCTCAGCCGTCGCAAGAATCACCGGATGTAGAAGCTTTGATCAAACTGAGACAATATGGACTTCACTGCCTAATCGTAGATAGCAATGAGGTCACCCGAGATGTATTGAGAACGTTGATTGAAGCCCTGGGTGTTCATGTTCATGTGGCAACCACCTTCCAGGACGCGACTGCTCTGCTCATTCAGTTCAACATCCGAGTCCTGCTCATCGATGCAAGAGTTGGAGCCAAGAATGCTGCCAATGCCGATATCAAAGTAGCCGATCTCGAAGGCATCCGACTTTTAAGTAGAATTCGCAAATGGGAAAGCGAGAATAAGCGAGTAGCGGCGGAGGCGATCATGATGACACCGTTAGGAGTTCGATTGTCGGCCACGGCTATGGAAGGACGTCGTATCGGCACAGTGTGTAACAAACCTGTGAGACGAAGCCGCCTTATTACTGCCTTACTGGACGCATTCTCTGCTTTGGTGGCTGGAACGAAACAATCAATCTCTGATGGCCGGCCAAGACGATTGACGCCTTCCATAGACGCTGTAAAGAGACCTTCTGTCATTCCCAAAAATATCTCTAACCGTACTGGACTACTCAAAATCTTGGTGGCCGAAGACAACATCATTAATCAAAAAGTCATCGTTCAGCTCCTTAAGCGAATGGGATTTACTACCGATATTGCAAATGATGGCGCGGAAGCATTGGATATGATGGAAGCTACGACGTATGACATTGTCTTCTTGGATTTGAATATGCCAAAGAAGGATGGGTTGACCGTTGCGAGAGAGGCTTGTGAAAAATATCCACCTGATGTGCGCCCTACATTAGTCGCTATGACGGCTAACGGTAAGTTTACATGCCACTACATAGCCAATAGTTATACCCGTTGCTAACTAACTCATCCATCATCATTAGCTATGAGAGGAGATAGGGAACAATGTCTGCAAGCTGGCTGTAAAGACTATATCGCCAAACCTATCCTCATACCTGAGCTTTCTCGCGTACTTGAAAGCTGCTCAAAGCATACCGCTGATGAAGAAAGCATACCACCCTCGGATCACCGCTCCAAGCGTCAAAAATTGACCTAATGATCCCTGCGAATCCATTATAGATTTTTAATTTCATGACATGTAACATATAACCTTTCGATAACCCCAATTGAAAAATTTGATGAGATCTTATCTCATATTAATGATATCATACGGCTTTTATATTTTGGAGTTTTTTGCTGTTGTATTGTATCGAAGCGAGAGACGAGGCAAATACGCAGTATTCGCTTTGAAATATATACATTAGGATAGGAGAAATCTCTAGACGAAATAGCATCATACAATTCTTTAAACAGCATAGCCATTTCGCTTAATGACCAGTGGTGGGCAAACCGACGTACACTAACAAAAAAAAAAAAAGGTATGAGCACATGCATGTTACACAATCCGAAATATTCTTAAATAAGAGAATTGTTTGCTTTGCGAACTTACCCTTGAAACTATCGTAAATGAGCCACTGCAAGGCAGTCAAGGTACCGATCATGACGATACGTTGGCTCAATCCACGCCACAGTCCCTTCCAGCCGAGCTCTTGAATCAAAGCTCCTACACCAGGCGAATTTCCAGACTTAGCTTGGTTGTTCAATTTAGACACCAAAACGTCAGCGGGGTGAGAAACAGCAGCACAGAAGACACCAGCAATGTAACCGCCGGCAAAACTGACTTCCAACTGTTGGAACTTGTTATACGATGATTTGGGCTTGCTCAAGAAATTGCTGTAGATGAGCTCGACAACACGTTCAAAACTGGCAAACTTCATCATAGTGTATGGGATTTGTCTTCCCCAAAGTGGAACGAGGCCACGGTAAAAACCACCCAATCCTTCAGCTGCCTTGAGCTTAGCAAAACCTTCTCTCGTGGTAGCAGCAAATGGTGGAATGGAAGTTTGCATGCGGACTTTGAGAGCTTCCATAGGACAGAGGGCAATATCAGCCAGGAATTCGGCAGACGCGGAGGCAGCTAGATACAATGCGGTACGATACTTATGAGCAGCTTCCTCACCAGCAATCTGACCATACTGGTATTTGAAGAACTCGTAGAAACCGTACTTTCCAGTTCCCTGCATTGAATAACCGATGGCAGTGGGACCTACACCAGTGAAGATGCCTCTGAAGCCTTCGGCCTTGTAAATCTTGGACCATCCATCAAAAGTACCTTTGTAGACACCAGGCTGCACTTGGCCACGGCACTTGACAAGGTCAAGAGGTGTCACTAGAGCGTGAGTGGGACCGCAAGCCAAAGCACCTCCCAAGGCACAGGTCAGGAAATAGTTTGTAGTATACAATTCAATGGGAGCAGAAGCTACAAAGGCCTTTTCATTGATCGAAGCGGCAATGAAGCGAGCGGGAGATACACGCTGGCTTTGCTTCTTATTAGGACTCAGCGGCGAGGAGATGACAGCGGAAGCCACTTCTCTTGATGGGAACAAAGACATAGGAAAATTATTTTATGAGGGAAAGAAAGATATTCGAGTAAGATGACTGTGATAGATAGATAGCTCTTTTTATATGTGGTATTTTGATAACCAGGTCAGGTATCTAACACCCATGACGACATGCTCTGCATTTTACCGGCGGAGAAATTCGGCTCTGCCTGAGTCAAATTTGGTTCTGGAAAAAGAAATCACCCGCAGAATCATCCTCACTTGCCCGACTGCTTCTATTTGAATTATCTCGCGCAATCATATCTAATTCTATTAAAGTACAGCGGTACCTTTGGACGAAGGCTAATGATATAAGAACGATATCTAAAGCGGTGGCATTGGTGTTGAGAGTAATGAAATACATGTAAGAGGGATAGTTGAAAGAAGGTGTCTAAAGGGTCGGGTCAAATCAGAAAGGGGAGGGGGTCTATACAGGTAATAGTGTGTCCATCTAATGTCTGGGAAATTATTGGGTGAGGCAGCCCACTAAGGTAAAGGAAGTGGTTTGCATCTTATGTCTTGGCCATAGAGTTGACGGCGCACCTAATGCCAGGCATCATGTTAGTGGCAGCAAGCATGAGCGTCATACCCATGTCATAACTTACATCCAAATTCGCGTCTTGTATATTTTGAACAAGTCGCGCACCAGTTCACGAAAATCAATCCGTCGGTCCGCCACGAAGTAAAATGTGAGCTTACGTCGATCCCTAAGCAATAGAAAGAAAGAATCAATCAACCATAACAAGTAAACTCGTGTTGGCTAATCCCTTACCATTGATATTCAGCATCAACCACTTCCATGGGTAGTTTCTTTTGTCTCACTTTGTTCTGGCATAGTAATCTCGCCTTCGTTTCATCTTCACCTTTGTTTACAAGTGATGTTATTTCGTTTGGTTGGGCTAAGCGATAGATTCGCTTGGGGTGAATGTCTTTGCGCTGGACACTGGAGCCTGAAGATGGGTCGTTATCCGCGACCATTTGCTGCTCGAATTGTTGTTGAGCTTGAAGCATGGACACTTGTTGGGTAGTCAAGTTATCGACTGTCACCTTGCCCAAATCCTTGCCTCGGTCAGCTTCTACAATCACTAAGTCGCCAGTTTGGATGACCACATTACCAGTTGGGTCATCCACGTAGAATATATCAGTCCTGCCGGCCTTGAACTCAACCATGTACAATTGTCGGTGCCCTTGAAGTTGGTGTAATGGGACGCCTTTTCCTACCTCTCCTGTATGCTGTCGTGGCTGTGAATCATCCGCTAAGCCGCCTTCAGGTATAGAGGTGGTTTCCAGGTTGAGCTTCTTCATGGCATCATTTAAACCTGTTTGTAGATTGGCTCCAATTGCTTCAGTCGATATCGATTGTCTTCTATGTTCAATCCTATCCATTGGACTATAAAGACGAAAATGGTGGCGTGGGAGGGAATGATAAGCTATCAGTTCGGTTCAAAAAGACGACAAATGAAGCTTACCCAATAGCGGTGACGGATTCCTTAGACGGGCCAGACATCTCAGGAACATCCGTGGCAAAAGAAAATCGACGTTGGGGTCGAAGCATGGCTAGCGGCTCCTTAGATCCCGCAGGCACAGTAAAAAGTGGATTAACATCAAATGTAGGTGAGCCAATAACAGAAGGTCGACGTGAACCATTTCCAAGCGTTGGTGGTTGGTCATTGACGTATGGTTCAGATACACGTGGAGAGTGAAACGGGTGATTGAGCTGGTTCATGTACGCTAGCTCAGAAGACGAGAGCAATCCAAAGGCAGCACCTGAAGACTTGGACCTAGCTCGAAATCTCGCAGCACTGAAATCGTCGTCCTCTTCTTCTTCGCTCATAGGTGCTAGAGAAGATTGAAATGCGTTGGGAAATCTTGAGGTAGACATCTTCATCTGATCGTCACTATTTTCCTCAAAAGCGAGTCCTGGGTTACTCTGGCCAACCGAAAATGAAGAGCTGCGCTTTTCTCTATAAATGGGATCTTGCGATACGTCCGGTACCATCGGTGCAGATCGCAAATCCTCACCACCAAATCCTCTACCAAAACCGTTATCAAGTGGCAACGAGTGCTTGCGAACATGAGTGTTGGCAGATGGCTCAGAAACCTGGTTATCGGACCACATCGATGATCTTGACCACTGAAATGGACTGAATGAACCCCAACTTGGATCGGTAGCAACCGAAGATCTTCGAAATGCGTTTGGAGGTGTCATACTGGGAGACTGGAAACGATTGGGATTAAAGTCAAGGTCATTGGCGGCTGAAAAACTTTGAGTGCGAGGAGTTGGTAGTCCAGTAGAATCGTCAAAATCGCTATCTTTGCTATTCATGTACGAGAACAAAGGCATGCTGCCTTTACGCGGAGGGCTACCTACAATCTTCCAACTGTTATCAGCAGCGGAAGACGGTAAAGAAGGAGTTTGAATCGGTTTTGAATTAGGTGAAGAGCCAGCGGAGCCATCGTTGATCTGGGTGTTAGAAGACGCTTCTGGTGATGCCTTTTGCTGCTTGAAAGGCGCAGTAAGTAAATATTAACCGAGAAAACCAAAAAACAGAGAAGTAGCGTATGTGCTTACCAATTCCTGAGATGATTGAGGCAAGTGGTGAATCTGAAAAAGAAAGCATTATAGGTATCAGGAACTTGGGGGTGAATGAGACACAGTAACGAGGAACAGAAGGTTTTACTTGTTGTTGATCCATTAACTGCGATTATGGATTTGGTCAAATTGTAAAAAAAGGGGTAAGACGTTCTGGATGAAGTAACGTTGGCAGTTTAGAGCCAAGCTCTGTTAAAGATAGGGGAGTAGTTAAAGTGAGTGAGTGTGTAGCTGAGCGAGAAGTCGGGTGGTCAAAACGAACCTACGTTGGCGATGATGAGGTAAGAGATGGAGGAAGAGAGCAGTAAATGGAATGGAGAAAACTGGGAGGAAAAAATAATGATTCAGGAAAAAGGGCGTTCAGTCGAATGTCAGAAGGCTGTCTAGCATTTATTAAAGTGTCGAAGGTTGGAGCAGCAACGTCAGCGAGGTTTTTTTTTTTTTTACTCGTTTCCATCCCCTCCACATTACATCTCCTATAATCCCGCAGTCTGTTCTCACCTTCTCGCAAATGAATATCAACACCGCTGGCACAGCTGCAACTATTCTCAAAGATGAGATTGTTTATAAACGGTAACGTTATCACTTGACTTGACAACCTACTTATGCACCCAACTCTGAAACATCAGCCAATAAACGTTCAAGGTACATCACAGTATGGCAACGTACAACTCGATTCGAGGATGGTCGCGAGATTCAGTGGGATGTCGTAGGCCACGACTCTCCGCTTCCAACTTTCGTCACTGTTTTTACCTTTGATACAAATACCGTGAGTAGTTGTTCTGCATGCGTATTGCCTGATACGGGGAAATTCTATAAACTCTCGACAGCAACACCAAACTCATATACATTTTCATGTTTAATAGAAAACAACGTGCATATTGAAAGAATATGTACAAGGTTCCAACGAAGTGGTAATTGGCATGATAGCAGTCGCCCCATACTTCTGACTTCGCGTAATGATACTTATACATTTTTCGCTTTATTTTGCTTAGAAATACACTTGTACCGCAGGCTCTTTCGATCGCCGAAAGCATCAAAGCCTAGAGGAAGCAGCACAGCATGAGTTGTCGGAAGAAGCACAATTGACTGGAGGTCATATGATCAACTTATGTCCTTCTTCCCAGCCAGAGGGAATCTCTGAACTCAAGTGGGGAAAAAACCGCTTTGTACCATACATATGCATCAATCCAACTTTAGACACCAACCCCAAACCACGAGACGCAGAGGAATACATGGAGGTTGTGCGGGATGTCTCGATAGACGACTTTACTCAAATGGTCATGAGAGGCGAAGTAATGCTTCCCAGTGTTCAGACTGGCTGGATGGCTATAGAATGGCTCAAAGAAAATAAATACATCTGAGAACCCCGCAGTGGCTCATGTTACTAAGGCACATCCATCAAATTTATAGCTATATTGGCGTAAATAGCAAGCATACTTGCTTGCTGTGACAGGGCCAATGTTTGTTGAGATGTTAATTGGAAACCTTGACTCTGAAGGTTTGGTGAACATCCTTTCCTTTCTCGTTCCACTGCCCACCTGGCTATAACAAATGCCTTGCCTCGCCATATCGTTGTTAGCTCGCGTCAGAACGTCCTCATATCCTTCAAATATGACACTTTTCATTCGCCGAGAGCATTATGTTACTTTCAACATCCCTGTATTTACAAAGTCTATGGTTTTCCTGCGCATAACTGACGTGCTCCATATTAGGATTAATACTCGGTAGGCTTGGTTAACTTGACAAGTTTTTCTAAGCGAGGTAATTCCTACAATAGCAAATTGTTTGAGTACAACTGGAAGATTATAGTCAACCCTAAGCGCCTATGAAGAACCCTACCTTGGTCAATTTTTGTAGCTCTTTTTGTAAGTTCGTCTTGCTTGCACGCTGGGATTTGACTGTATCAATTTTTTCCATGTAGGAGTCGAGGTCATCTTCAACAGCCTCTTTACTGGCGATTTGTCTCTTCTCTTCCTCTTCTTCATCTGTTGTTGAACATGATGTTAATACCAGTTTCTCAATTTGCACGTATTAAATGTAACAGCGCTCCAACATCCTCCATTACCTTGAAGGCTTTTCAGCTGGTCTTCGATGTCGGCTATGCGCTTTTGCGTCATTTTCTGCTTCTCAATTAATGAGTCGTAAGTTTCGACTTTTTGGGCTTTACCCTTGTTAGTCTTTCTAGATTTGTGCTTTTCAACTGCGTGCGCTCATATGGCGTTAGGTTTAGAGTCACATTCTGCCAACATTCAACGCATAAGCAAGGACTGACCTGCTCCCGTGCGGTCATAATAGCTATCTTCATCACTGTCGTCGCCGTCTCCAAAAAGTCGCTTCATTCTCTCCTTTTGCGCAGCTGGTGCGGATAAAACGCAACAATTAACCACAGAACGAAAATGGTCAGTCCACAATTTTCGCTTAACAAACCTGCTTTCTCTTCCAAACGCTTTTCAGCTGCCTCAATCGCCTTTGGATCATTTTCGTCTACATCTTCCTCATCTTCATCTACTGCATCCTCTGGCAGACCCCTAAATGATAAACACCGTTAATGTTTCGCACATCCCTTTTTTAAGTACTAAGGTGGCAAAGTAATACCATGTAACACCCTGATCCTCATCTTCTTCGACAGGCATTGGTTGCTTTCGTTTAATCAAGATAGAAGTCTTTTTCGTCTCTTCGGGCTCTTCCTCTTCTTCTGTGAACTCTGTATGGAAAATGCATAATCTCGTACTCTCTCCAAACTTGATCTGATCCCCCTCGGCAAGAGGAACATAGCTATGTTTATCCACAGGCTTTTTGTTGATCCTAGTTCCATGGCCGCTCCCTAAATCATACAAAAATGCCTTTCCATCATCATTGAACTGAATGACTGCATGATAGCGCGATATTGACTATATTCGTATCAGTAAGACGTGGCTCTGCCAAATGTGCCATGTTATAAAATTACACTCACCGGGTGCTCAAGTTCTAAATCACACAGAGGTAACCGACCTAGAAAAACAGTTTTCACATTAAACTTCTTTCTGTTCTTTCCACTTTTCTACTCTCATTCTCCATGTAACAATACTTACCAACGGTTATGAATTCTCGGGCGGGACCATCAAATTCTTGAACTACGGTTCCATTCTTCAGAATTTCAAAAGAGTACTTTAGTTTCGCGGCAGAACTCCAGTCTGGTTTGTTATATGCGAGCGCTGGGCCTTGCGGAGGTGGCTTCGGTGTTGGGGCACTAGGCACTGCGAATTCGGACATGGATTCGTGAACAGAAAAAAAGTAGGCGTAAGGTGGGGCAGCGTGGTGCCGTGACTTGCCCTTTTCCAGCTGGCTACGAGATTGAGTCAAAAAGGTGCCCAATCCGGAACCTAAAAAAACTGATTCTTTCGCTGTAGTGACTAAACCTCCTTCCTAATGGATTCTCTACCAGACGAGATTCTGTTTAGAATCCTGAGAACTTTACCTTCAGATCCTCTCAGCTTATGTCGCATTGCCCAAGTGAACAGACGCTTTAAAAGGTATAGCCATTCAAAAGAAAATGATCCTTTGCAACTTTTAGTATCCATTCCATTTGGAAAAGAATAAGGGCAAATGGTTGAGCAGCCCTTCCTTTACTATGCAAGCCTCCCCTTTCTTAGCTCGATTCACCGTCATTCTAACCAGACAATACACCCATTCTTCTATATAGGATTGCGGACGACCCAAAGCTTTGGTACAACCTTTTTATTCGATGCTACCCGGTATGGGCCAGCACAGTTCAGTACTCCAGCCGATACGGTGTATCTATCAACTGGAAGCAATTTGTTCTACAAATTCGTAAACAGCAGAAGAATGCAAAGTCATTCGACTTTAAGCTTGTCGATGAACGACCTCTTGACGTTCGCTCAGAGGCAAGCGGCACTAGTGACCTTAGCAGAAAACGAAAACTCAGCCACCCTGATATCGAAGAACCTGCTCAAGATATCCCATCTGCAAACAGCAGTGATGTTGAAGAAACCCCTCCTCAGACTAAGCATGCCAAATTAAAGGTCTTACAGTCCGAACTGCCCGAAAGACCAGCGTCTGTCCAACTGCCTATGTCATCAAGGTCATCTTCATCGCCACCGTCAGAAGAGCCCTATAGACCTACACGTCGGCGGTCCTTTCCAAATATCACATGGGGCCAGGAAACAAGCTCTTTCAACATTTCTTCAGATAATACCCCTCCTCCTCCAACCTCGTTGCATCGGGGACCGCTTACTTCCAGTCCAGCGGTGGCCGAAGCATCAGATACCCCTCGAACTTCAGTCTCCGACTGGAACAGTCATAGAGAACTTGAAATCGAACCACCCTTCCGAATACAGGATCCCTTGGTGGTTGATATCGATAGGGTGACTGGAACTGGAATCGTTGCCACTGGAAAACACAGGAAAGAAAGGATAGACGTCGAAAATTTATCTTTACATGAACGACGATCAGAGCATAAAATCCTCTTTTGGCACTATCCCTCTTGGAATCTCGTTAGAGAATTCGACCTCAGTTTTGCACCAGCCGAAATGTCTTGTCAAATAACAGGCATTCAGTCCATACGAATGAGCTCTGGAAATGGAAAAGATGACAAGATGCGACTATTTACAGTGGCTGTTGGTGTACCGTTATTCCCAAACGAGGAGGAAGAAGATGAAGGCGATAGCGAGCGAGTCGATGCTTGGCAAGTCATACTCATTTATCGTCTATTTGACGATGGATCGACGCAATGCATGGCTAATTTGAATGTGGATAATATGTTCCTTGGACGAGAGATTTTTTTCTTTTCCGACTATTCATGGATGCGCTCTAACGATGGAGACGATGCTGACGTACAAGAAACCTGGAATCGCACTGATCACAAACGAGATTCAGTGCAAAGCTGGCTTAAGGCTATAACTACGCCTTCCAATGCCAAGTATGATCCGCAGTACACTGTTTTTATGCTAGCGATTGGTCAGAGTTTACCTCGAATATCCGGTACTGGTATGCTGATTAAAATCGACACTCGCGGCCAACCTGATGCTTTGGATCCATCCACCATGCCTGTCAGATGGGATCGTTCATTACGCCGATTACAACTCGCAAATGATCTAATACCATCCACCGACTCCATACCCATCATCATGTCGGATCATAGGATATCACTCATCAACAGACATAGTACCAGTAGTAGCACCTTGAACCCAGTCATTGTCGCCACCATCAAGCTCGGTCTCAAAATCAGTTGTATGCTACATTTCAAATACCCGCCTCAGTTGAATCACTTGATCGTCACTGGAAGCTTTGACAGCGATGAGCTTGCTATTTATGATTGGCGTTTTGGAGTTCGGGTGGGCAGCCTGCCATGGACTGGCACAGATGAGCCATCTTCAAGTAGACCCGGTCAACCACAGCAACTTTGGCAGCATATCATAGAGCAACCAGAAGAAGGTATGGACGTAGATCACCCTCTCCATAATGACGACCAGCAAGTAGTACCACCTGAAATGGATGCAAATGAAGAGGATCAGCACGAGAACGCAGGTCAACCTTCACAACTTCCCGATATTGTCACACACCACCATATTGAAGAAGAAGAACAATTATGGGAAGTTGATGTGGACGCTGCTAGGCGGCATAGAGATGCACATATTGCGGAGGATGACGAAGCGATGATGGACGAAGCTATTGACGAAATCAATGACGGAAGAGCTGAGATAAAACCTTGGGGACTGGAATCCACTATGGTGCTACCAGTATGCTGGTCATCGTCTCCAGCCCTAAGCAACTCTGTAGACCTGGAATCGAGAGGTTTCCGGCTCATTGCTGTCGGCGATAATCGACAAGACAAGCTCGGGATTAAGGTTTGGGATATCTCTCACTTGTTGAATGTGGACTGGGACCCACTTGATACACAGCAACGGTACGGATCCAAAGATCACTATCCTCCTACGCTAGAAACCTATCAGTTCCGATGGTGGTCAAAGGGCTCACCACAACTGCAAAAACTGGCTTTGGATATGTTGGCAGCTGATGTACCTACGTTACTACCGACTCGACGAAAGGCATCTCATGGTATCAATCTCCCGTACTCACCACCACAAGCTCGACGAGTCATGCTCCTTACACATTCATTCGACAAGGAACATGTTACTTCCGACAATGTCAATATGCCTGTCAAGTACACAGCATATAATGTCTTGTGCACTTCATTATTCCTTCTGACCGAAGAAGGAGAAGTTACGGTCATGGACATCGAGACTGGATCCGTCATCGCCTCTGTTACCAATGCAGCTTCGGGTAGTCAAGACCTGCCTCAGCGGATAAGAGGCATCGATGTTAATGTTATCGCTGGCAAGGAAATTGTCGTTACCAGCCGCGAAGGTCTTTTACGAGGCTCTTTATAGATAGTAGAACAGTCATTGTCACTTCAGCTTATCACGCATTCATGTCATTTTCTTCACGAGATATTATATCTTTTCCTCTAAAAAAAATTTTCTCATACCATCGCCAAATTTATAACGCACATTCTGTCTAATCCTCCTTCTTATTCACAAAGCTGTATTTTTTCATGTTGCTGGATACATTGTCATACTTTCTCATAGCATACATATTTAAAAAGACTAATTGCTCAGTCTACACCATTCTTCCCGCACGTTTCCTGTCTGTAAGCCTTACGTTTCATTCAGGCCCATTTAGCCACTGCGAGCGAAAGAAAAAAAAAAAAAAAAAAAAGAGAGATACAAAAATTGTTCAGTGGAACTGCTTTGTAATTGGACATTATGGAGGGCCTTGACATTCGGCACGATTCCAACCTGTATCTACAGGAATATATATCGAGTAAGTGTATCATGACAACATACGTGGGGAGGAATCCAAACTTCACATGTTGATTGCACGATTTTCCTCATTCGTCAATATTAACATATACACTCGCAGCATTAGAGAATCTTCCGAGTGAAATTCAATACCATTGGGCTGAAATACAGAAGCGGAATGAACAGTTGGAAGGTAAATATGTGTTTTGGTTACATTGCTTTCTAAATACCGGATCCTTACATACTGCTGGTTCACCAGAACTGGAACGACACATCCACTCTCGTGACAACAACCTATCCAAGATCCATAGACAAGTCATGAACAGCACAGAAACAAAGGCTGACGCTTTGAAAAACGAGCCTATCATTATCAGAAAGATAAAACGTGATTATGATCGCATACAAGTGCTAGCGGATGAAAAAGTTCAGATCGCAGAACAAGCTTTGAAATTGGTAAGTAAAGCTATTTGTTAATTTACGTTTGGTATGTATGTAGCTCACACCTTGTTGGGTATTTGTCGTTCAATTTGAAGCTGGATAGGCACTTGCGTCGACTTGATAACGACCTCGACAAAGTGCATGACGACAACCGTAACGAAAGCCGCAACGAAAGCCGCTCACCACAATCCATGATGCCGACCAGACAAGCTTCTCCAATCAACACCACCCTCAAGCTTCCTTTGGCGGAAATGATCGGAGAGGGTTCACAGCGGAAACGTAAGCTAAAACTAATGTCGTTTATTTCTCTACTGTTTGACGACGATTTTAAACCAACTGTGTCCCACCTTAGGCCGACGTGCAAATTCGCACATTTCTTCCGGTCGTTCTACGCCGTCAATACGAACAAGATCACGAGAGACCACCCCTTCAAGAGGTCCCAGGCGGCAGCATGCACCTCCCCGACATGGCAATGACAGTGATTCCCAGGGAGAAAGCGATGAACCGTTGTACTGTATATGCCAGCAAGTCTCGTATGGTGCAATGGTTGCCTGCGATGGCGAAGTAAGATTATATTTCATAGTGCATCATTCAAACGGCCCAGGATATTTATTAACTTCTCTTACGTAGAATTGTCCACATGAATGGTTCCATTATGATTGCGTTGGTCTAACTGCTCCACCTAAGGGAGCATGGTATTGCGAACATTGCTTAGCTGAGATGCAAGAGAAGAAAGTGAAGAAGCTGAAGCGGAAGAAGGATTAGGAGCATATTACTTAGACGTTGGTAAGGTCACATACTCGACGGTCTTCTCTCTTATTAATTGGCAAACACCACCTTCTCCACTCCTCTTTGTAAATCTTTTGTAATTCATGTCTGTATGTTTCTGTACTCTGATTCTCTATTGTCGAATGACAACAGAAGCTATGTATTATAATCACACCCCTCTCAAGTTCGCATACTTATTCAGCTCAGAGCATTCTGCGCTTACTTTTCAGTTTACAATTTATTTTTGCTCTTTTTAAAAAAAAAAGAAAGAAAAGAAAAGAAAAGAAAAGAAAGTGATGTCTGTTTGTATGTAGGATCTTTTGGCTAGCGGTTACAGATGTATTTTTGTTTGGAAGGGAGTCTTAGACATCCGCACCTTTTTATGATTACAGGAAGAAGAAAAAAAAACAACTTGACCCCGGGCATGGTATAATTACTTTGTCTCATCAAATGTTCAATGCATTATCTCATCGAACAACATTTCTATCGTGGTGTACATTGTTAATTTTCAGACGTTCCGTATTGCACTCACACCTGCTATGGTTCAGTACTTACGTTTCAATTGCTCCTTTGTAAGTTGATCCTTGTATCTATCGAAATCAAAGAAGTTTTCAGGTATAGGGGGAGCACCAGGCTGTTAATGGAAATACGTTAGTACGCTTTGCTGAGTAGCGCTGAGCTAATAATTTCATATGTTCAAACCTCATCGTCTGGGTCGTGGTATGGTTCAAGATATGGGTGCTTCAGGGCTTCCTCTACCGTGATACGCTTAACCGGGTTAAATGTTAAGAGCTTTTCAAGAAGGTCAAGAGCTATGCGTAATCGTTAGTATACTACTCTCTCATAGCTGGCAGTTGCAATCGTCAGTTAAAATTACCCATAGCATTGGCATTAGGAACCAGACGTGAAAATGGAATACGTTTCTTAAATGGCAGTCCACGAATATAGTCACGAGCCTAAGAAGTTCAGGTTAGAACCAACATATAAAACATCCACTAATATCTGCAGAAACTTACTCTTCGCGACTTGATAGCGTAAAAATCGTCCATAGTAGGTGTTCCAAGTACGTCCAGGATGAGGGTCAGTTGATGGTGATAGTCACGACCGGGAAAGAGAGGCTTGCCACTCAACATCTCAGCAAGAATGCATCCAACAGACCACACGTCGATTGCTTTAGTATACTCCTTGAAGGTCAACATGATTTCTGGAGCTCGGTACCATCGTGTTGCTACATATTCAGTCATGAAACCGCTATTTTCATCGGCAGAATTGGCAGATCGAGCCAAACCCAAATCGCAAATCTATGAGAACAATGCTTTAGAACTTTTCCAACTCGACAGCTGATACCATAAGTTCGGTTTTCCTTATTTACCTTGAGATCGCAGTTTGCGTTGAGCAACAGATTGGAGGGCTTGAGATCACGATGGAGGACATTAGCAGAATGCATGGCTTTCAGGGCTCGAAGGGTTTGATATATAAAGTACTGGCAATGGTCATCGGAGAGATCTTGCGTACGAATAACTCTATGCATATCGGTTTCCATCAACTCTTGAATCAAATAGACGTCGTTGAACTCGTCGAGTGATTTTGGCCGTACAATATCGAGAATGGATATTATCTACACAAGCACATTAGATCTATGCACTTTCCGGTCCGTTGACCTGTCACCACTTACGTTTTCATGATTGAAATATCTGAGTAGCTTGATTTCTCTCAAAGTTCTCAAGCAGAACATGGCGTGTTCAAATGGTTGGATGCGTTTTATGGCGACGGTTTGACCAGTTGGCTTGTGCAAAGCCGAACTATGGTACAAAAAGGGACAATGTCAGTTACTGAACTTTGATAAACAATAGTGATTTCTTTCCTCCCATTATCACTCCTCTTTCACTCTTTCGACCGAGCCAGTAGAATCATCTATGTTACTTGTCGGAAACTTCATCATGTTGATTCTCACTTGCTCATCTACTCAAAGACCGACCTAGACACAAATAATAAAAGGCTACTTACCATACGACACCATAGGCTCCTTCACCTACTATATCTACAACTTCATATTGTTCTCCGGCATTGAAATGCTGAATACGCGAAGCTAACTCTTGCTGTCGAGAAGATGACATGACGCTTCACGGGGAAGTAGATGTTCTGCACCTCGGACCTGGATATTTTTTTGCCAGAGTTGCAATTAAATTGGCCACTTTCGCGCCCCGCCAATCATTCGCTTCCCTCGCTCTGCACAACAGGTCAGGGAACCCAATACTGGTGGGTGGTGGTTATTACGCATATTCTGCAAGCCCCGGCATACAACTCATTCTTTGTAAACTTTGAATGGCCTGATTCGCCGATACTAACCGTTACTCTTAAGCTGCAAACTCATCGTGTGTAAGTTAGTTCAAATTTCAGACGTCGTTGGACATAAAATACTGTCACTGCCATGCAGGAGTGATCCATAAATGGAAATGAACTGCTCTGCCAAATGGATGGAGAGAGAAGGTTGCAGTGCTCCGTTATAGGAGTCACGACGACTCTACAGCGAGAAGTGGATGACTCCTCAAGTGTAAGAAAATCAGAACAAATTTTTTATGGGATCGCCAAATGAAATAGAAATAGAATTTGTTAACGTAACCGCGCAGAGACGTGAAAGCTAGTGAGACCTCTTTATGCTTTTCACTCGCACGAAAGCAAACCCCATATGCTGCAGGCACATGTCATAACCACCTGGTTATCAAAGGTTTTTCATTTATTTCATAGGTAAATGGTGGTGATTATTGCACCAAGGAGTAGCTATAGGTGCACGTATTTTATATTCAATAAATAAAGCTCGATTTTGCCCTAGGAGCAAGTGTACCCATTATCAAATAGTTGACTCCAACTGGCGTAATATGCTATAAGTTGCAATGTCAACTGAACTCCCGTGCTTAAGAACTGAGCCTCAAATTATGAGACGGTGCGAGCAGTAATCTGGAGTGGTCATCACGAAATTATATAAAATAAAATAAAGCAAAGCCCTGTCTTTCTCGTTTACCTGCTGACTCAGCTGCAAGTTGTCTTCGTATATAATATTCTCGAGCCGTGCGCAACGCAAACTGAAATCACCATTCCCCAAATGAGCGTTATGAATCCTGACGACCCCGCAAGCTTTCGTCACTGCGAAGTGGACGGCTTAAACGGTATCCGTATTCACTTTGTTGATGAGAACTCTTCTAGTGACAAAGTACTGTTGTTACTACACGGTTTTCCTGAACTTTGGTTTGGTAAATATATCAATTTATTGAAACGATAATGGAGAATGAAAGTTAACATTCATTTGTATTATTATGTTGGCACTACCAAAAAAAAAAAAAAAAATAGGATGGCGAGAGCAGATCCCATTCCTAGTGTCTAAAGGATACAGAGTAATTGCACCCGATCTTCGTGGATTCGGAGGCACCGTAAGTACTGATACAGTCATCTATATATCATCTGGCATTTTGGACTCAATATACCGATTGCAGAGTTCACCGGAAGATTATCACGTCTATGGCCATAAAACTGTCTGTGACGATTTGGTAGCGCTGTTAGACTACCTGCAAATCCCAAAGGTTACGGTGGTCGCGCACGACTGGTAAGATTGATAAGAGCTAAATGGAACTATACCTGCGTAGTAAAGGAACTAATAACCTTTTTCAATTATGATGATGCTCTTGGTTTGGACATAGGGGTGGCTCCGTAGGGTGGCGTTTTGTTCAATTTTACCCCAAGCGCACACTGGCTATTGCAGTATTTTGTACACCATACTTACCTCCCAACCCAGAATACATCCCACTTGAGGACGTTGTAAAGCGTCTCCCCAATTTTCGTTACCAGATCCGTTTCGTCTCGCCTGACTGTGACAAGGAATTGGATGCTGATCCAGAACAGTTATTCATTAGGCTGTTGAGACCTTGCAATGATGCAGTCGGTCCGATATACGATGCAGACAAGGATTCCATTATACAAGGACGTCCCAAGGTAAAGCGAAATGAAATGCTAAGCGAAAGGCAATTGAAGTATTATGTCGATCAGTACAAAAAAACTGGTTTCCACGGCCCGTTGAATTGGTACCGAACTACCAAAGTCAGGTTTGAGGAGAGCAAGGGTAAAGTTCAAACTAGCTCCTAATCTTTTTCCACAAATAGAGCATCCAATGCTAACCTGTTTTCTTTGCTTTTTCTTTCGATTACGTTCAGATTTAAACCCTATCATTGAATTTCCTGCCATGATGGTCACAGCAAGCCGCGATGCGGCCCTTCCCCCGAGTATGGCAGTTGGTATGAAAAAATTTGTTCCAAAACTGGAAATGCACAACGTCGACGACGCCGGTCATTGGATACTATGGGAGAAGCCAAAGGAATGTAATGAGCTTCTAGATCGCTTTTTATATCAAATTTATAGCACATCTAAGCTCTAAAGCCAAATAGGAAATGAGTAAAGATAATGTTTTATGGACAAAGAGATTTTCTGGATGCATTTGTGTGCAGTGGATATGTTAATGGATGAGCCTTGCTATTCAAAATAGAATATCATGTAACAGAGAATAACAGTTCGCATTGCATTATCTTACAGCTCTCTGCGCATTCTGATCTGCCCTTTATCATGTGATGAGCCCGCAACACTGGTTATGCAAGGCATGGGTAAGGTGCGGTAAGGTGAAATCGAAAGGAGAGAGCAGGAACAAAGGACGTCGCCATTTGAATTTGTGAGGTAAAAAGTGAAGTCATCTTTTAGACATGACAGGTGAAACATGGACAAAACGATCGGGTTTGCGTCGATGACTGTGGTGAAGTATCTAGGTAGCAAATACGACAAGGACTTATTGATGAAGAGCCAATTAGCTGCGACTCGTGTGTGTAAACAATAAACAAAAAGCAGCCGGCTTACCCGGTCAACTTGTAGCTCACGTAACGGCTTGTGTGATACTAAAACAAGAGTTTGATCTTGACATGTTGGCACCTTGGTTGAGTACGACGGATACTCCAGTATATCCTGACTCTAAAGCAGGGGTACTTCATACATAGAAGCTCGATAGAAGGATCGAGCATGCCGAACCAGCCCAAATTTGGTTCGTAACACAGACAGTATGGTCGTTGTGGCCACTCGAGACTTTTTTTTCCTGACTGTGAGCAAAATTTCTCTCTTTACTCCTTCTCTTTTGCTAGTGAATGACCAGGTAGTGCGGCCTTTCTGAGATCATGGCTACCAATCCTCTCGATTTATTTCTTCCCGAGCAACAACTTTCTACTTCAAACGACGGAGAAAAACAACAGAACATCTTTCCAGCCTTACAACTGGACAATCCCCAACCTACCATTCCCATTCCATCTTCACAACCTCCTATCATGGGTCCCCCACCTCCAGCTAACTTCGGCTTAAGCACCGAAGATCCTAAGTTGACTGGTCTTTACTCCAGCTCAGGATTCGATATGGCTTCCATCCTTGCAAAGGTTGTATCACGCCCGAATCCTCAAATCAATATTGGTCCTATTGACATGTCGTGTTCTTTTCTTGTAACCGATGCTCGTCAATATGATTTTCCAATCGTTTATGTTTCTCCCACATTTGAGAAGCTCACTTCTTACAAAACAAATGAGATTATCGGTCGCAACTGCCGCTTCTTACAATCTCCTGATGGCCATGTATCAATGGGCTCACGCAGACGTTACACCGACAATAACGCTGTCTTTCATTTGAAAGCACACATGTTGCAAGGAAAGGAAACACAAGCTAGTTTAATCAACTATCGGAAAGGCGGACAGGTACGCTATTTCTGACTTACCTCTTAAAAATAAGGCTTTATTTTTTTCCTAAACCTTAGCTAACGCCTTCCATCTTTTTCTTTTTTTTTTTCGTCGTTTCCTCCAGCCTTTCATCAACCTTATCACAATTATACCCATCACTTGGTATGACGATGAGGTTGCTTTCTTTGTTGGGCTGCAGGTGGATCTTGTGGAGCAGCCCGACGCCATTATGGAAAAGATGAAAGACGGTACTTATCATATCAACTACCAGTCTTACAATATACCCCCTTACTTGCCTGGCGCATTTGAAGCTCCTGAAGTTGATCAGTATTTTAGAGATATCCCCACATCCACTCCTTTCCCTGCTTCTGAAGAAGTTTTTGACCTTATCGATTGTCGCGAAGATCATGACAAGGCCAAAAGCATGTGGAACCAGCTCTTGTTAGACCAATGCGATGACTTTGTCCATGTCCTCTCGCTTAAAGGTCTTTTCCTTTACTGTTCACCAGCTTCTATGAAACTCCTGGAATACGAACCTGATGAACTTGTTGGTCGTTCCTTGAGCACTATTTGCCATCCATCTGATATTATTCCTGTTATCAGAGAACTAAAGGAGGCGTCCAATGGCGAAGCTACGGTCAACCTGGTTTACCGTGTCCGTCGCAAGCATTCTGGTATCATGTGGATGGAAGCACAAGGACGAGTGCATGTTGAGCAAGGAAAGGGACGTAAATGCGTTATACTCTCTGGTCGTGAACGACCTGTCTATCATCTCATCTGGAATGATATTATGAGCGCAACTAATCTGGCCAAGGAACAGTATACATTGACGAATAGCGCAACCGAACAGCCATCTTCGCCCTCCTCAAGTTCTACGGCTTCTACTAAAGGATTGTCTCATACCGAGTTCTGGTCAAAGCTCAGTCTCGACGGTTTGATTCTTTATACAGCCACCAGCTGTCAAAAGGTGCTTGGCGTCGATCCCGATACCTTGATTGGGTCGTCACTTTATCAAGTCATTCCACGCGATCGTACCAACGAATTGTCTCTAGCATTGAAAGAAGTTAGGGAAGGCAAAACGGTCAACCTGATGCACAAAATGCAAAATAAGCGCGGCTACTATTGTATGGTGCAGTCAACCCTCTACCCTGGTGATGTTAGCAATGGAATTGGCCGTCCAAGCTTCATTGTCATGCAAACTCGTGACTTGGATCCTCAATTGTCCTCTGTATCAAGTTCGGCAACCGGATCAAGTGCATCTTCTGGTTCTCTCGCTTCCCCCACTGAAGAAGCGTCTTTAAGCCGCTCTATCCTGAGTACGCAAGATGTGCCATCCGAACCTTTTGTTGCTGATGCCAACATTTTCGAAGAATTGGAACCTGTTCGTGGTACCAGCTGGCAGTACGAACTCCATCAACTTCGTTTAACCAACCGTAAACTTAAGGATGAACTTGAGGCCCTTACTTCCACTGGAAGTAAGAAGAGCAGAGGCAAAAAGGCAGAAGAGCAGAAGATTTGTGCCCAATGCCATCGTCAAGATTCTCCCGAGTGGCGCAGAGGCCCCAATGGTCCCAAAGAACTCTGCAATGCCTGCGGTTTGCGATATAAATCCATGTATAAGAAGGCCAATCGGTTACAGGAACAGCAGCAACAGCGCGAGTTAGGCAGTAATAGTTCGATGGAATCCACTGACGCTGACCAATAATAATGTCTAAGGTTCGCCAGTATCTCCAACATATAAGCTACCACACTATCTCATCTTCTCAAATGCCTTTCGATTTCTTGTTTTTCCCACTTTCTCTATGTTTTGTGTTAGTAACAGAATCGGCAATATCCCGTTGTCTCGGTATCATAACGTTTGTTTTCGCGTTACGTAAATAAATGTCATTTTACGTTCAAAAGAACATGAACTGCACCGTCAATGATGGGTTGGTATAGCCGAATGAATTGCTAAAAGCAGTGTTGATCAAACCCTCCTGTCTCGCTCCCCTGGCTATCACGGAAAAAAAAAATTTCACTGTACACCTGTAGACGTTCCCAAAGCAGTGAAGTGAAGTAAATAATGGAAGTTTATATTGTAGGCTGAGGAGAAAGAGGGTATTCTATAGTATTGTAAATTGCAAAAGCGTCTGAACGCTTCATCCTAGGTAATGTACAATGGCCCACAATAAACCGACCGTGATGATAATACCAATAATGAAAATCCACTTGTCTTGCGCTGACCGTCGTTCAATATACCGTATAACATTTTGTGACAGACCCAACGTATTTGCAGTGTCCAAAATCCGTCTTTGCGTTTGCTACATTGGACCGATAAGCATTCCTTCTCTCAGATAACAAGCATATATTTTTTCACAAACCTTGAGTATTCCATGTTGATCTGTAAGATTTTCTAAAACATGCTGCGCTTGGCTTATAAAGTCGTCGAGGTGGCTCTCTGTGCTCTGGGCAAATCCTCGTTCACGCATGGCATGCTCTAACGGCGATGGCGTTTGATACGGGTGCTCCATCTACAAGACAAAAGCATGAGTTGCCAGTTACAATGTTCAATCAGACTACCTGAGCTTTACTCACCGGTGATTCACCACCAGATCTTGGAGGCCTTACTCCCAAGAGGTCTCGCCTATTAGCCTGGCTCAGTTTCTGTTCCTGATCCTTCTTACTATTATCGAATTGGAGACGCATGACCTGTAACTCATCGCGGAACTTTTGGACTCGACTTTACCGGCAGATCATTAGCTCCAACGCCAAATGTAGAAATTACAAAAATTGATTACAACTAGTATTTCACCGGACATACCTCATCGCGAGTTCCCTTTTGGCGGTCAAAATCTCTCTTCGAGCTTGCTTCTCAAAGTCTGCGATAGATCGATCAAGAGATCCAAATGCCGCTGTTATTTGGCCTGTGAAGGTATAATGTCATCACTATTAATTCCAATTATTCTTCTACATAGATTCCATATCGGAACATGAAGACTATTATAAGTAGGCTATACCTTGCAATCCGGTGGAGGTGTCCTCGCCAGAAAGGAATTCTGCAGGAAAGCATAGATCAAAGGTTAGATCAAATGAGAGGGGTTACTGTGGCATTTCGTCATGGTTACAGACTGTTGAGATCTCTTTGAAGTGCTTGCGTTTGCTTCAGAGAATGATTGTACAACGAATTCATAGAGGATGGCTAGTGTGGGATGAATGGAGCAAACTGGACAGTTGGGTTTTCGAAAATATAGCGTGAGGCTGGCTGGCGGAGTTGCGCTTTTCGTGCCCCTTCAATCAAGCGGTACAAGTATACACCCAAGCGTACGAAGCAAGAAGAGAGTAGGTAAGAGACACCTTACAGTCTCTACTGCATATTAAAGTCTAAGTGTATGTCATTTTCAATCACGTCACATGCTCCGTCCGAATACGTGGATGAATGGCTATGCCTGCAAAGGCAGTATGAACATGCTAGAAGGCTCACCAACATAGCCTTTTAGAAGTGCCTCCAGTATTATCGAAATGCACAAGCTTTGTTAGTTATCTAGACTAATATTAGATTCAAAAAGAAGGCTGCATATGGTAAACTAGGGTGTAGGTTCCCGATGTTAAGCTTGGTTGCATTGGGAAAACTGGTATGCCTGGAAATACATGGTAGACAAGAAGTAGCAGTAGCTGTGCATATGCAATTCGGTACCCTTTCATCTTACCAAGGCACGTCATACTTTGCTTTTCCATCAAAGAAATTGAGCCAAAACAGTATCGCTCGATTGGAAAGTTTGCAATATGCACTTATATCCAACTAATTGTTCCAAGTATCTGGGCCAAACAAGTTTTGCTGTAAAATTTTGAAAATCGTTAGTGAGTACTTTGAACTCACGCTCCTGCTGGCCACCTTCCTTCATTCATACACATACTATATTTTACTATGTGGCAGGCAGCCAGGGAACAGGACAAAAAGGTTTTTGGAATGACTCTAGCATTCTAATGAACGAGATCTCTGTTGTAACATGAGCATAATGTGTACAGATCAAAGAACTTATGGTGGACCATAGGAAACGAGCCGAGAAACGGCGCGCATATCATGAATCCAAGGTGAGACTCCAGGAAAATGTCTCTAACAGACGTGCAAATGAAATATTCAATACTTCTCATTGTATAGATAGGCGATCCCAAACAACTCCTCCGCATCGTCGGCGCTGCAGTCAAGCTGTATCCTGATGCAGAACAATTTTATCAGCATGAAAATGTGAAGAACCTGTGAGTGCATTCGTTACAGAAACTTGAGCTGCATCTTTCAATTAATACACCATATCCGTTGCAATCAAAGCATGTCTGCTAACTTTTACTTTGTAGAACTATATGGCAGGGCGACGGGTATACTCGCATCGATCGGTAAATTACAATTTCAATCGATACAGTTTGAATGACACACTATATTCATTCAGTTTCAAAGCTTTGATGGACGAGCACTACTTGACAGTGTGCCTTCAAAATCACACCCAGCCGTTACTGAGCCATGGCAAGATCGTGAAATAGCAGACGAACTGAACTTTGAACGATTTCGAGATCTCGTTGAAGTGGACCGATTAGAAGGTATAATCCGGTTACGTAGGGTTGATTCAGTTCTTTCAAGAGATCGTTATCTTAACCATTATCAGTCACGGAAAGAGAACGATTAGAAGAAATTGAAGAAGAGTGGACCAATATCTTAGCTCGACATAAGGCGCTGCTAGCCATGCTTAATCCCAAGTACGTTGAAGTGCGCATTAAAGGTACTGATAAACTGTCTCTGATGATGCTGTATAGGAAGCAAGAGAAGAAACCGCAAGGCTTCAAGTACGATTATGGTACGAACGAAGCCCAACAAGATAGAACGCAAGGAAATGTAGAAGAAGAAGAAGAGCAAGAGCTGATTAAAGATATCCTTTTGGTCATGTTGGCCACAAACAATGATGCACCTCTTTTTTTTTAACTTTAATGTCCTTGACCGCGTATGCACAGGTGGATATATTGAGCTATATTGACGAACTAACCGACGCCGACCGAAGGAAGCTAGAGGAAATGGCTCATAGATATAATATTTGCCACTATGTTCATCAGCTACGAGCAGCGCGCAAAGATCGTGACAGGCAGTTGGACCATCTGCGAAATCAACAACAGGTTAGTCAAAACATAGGAAACAAACAATGACCAAAACAACAATCAAATAACTGAAACTTCATGTTAAACAGCATCGAGGTTCAAAGCATTCTCGACAACGAGGGAATGGACACAATAAACAGAGACGCCGATATCACAGTAATTCTTCGGTCAGTCCTCCCAGGTGACGTATCCTATACCCGATTCTGTTCTGAAAAGTTGGGACCAATTCCCCAATTTTATGCTGTTAAGGCTGAGGCAGGCACTAATAATAACAAAAATTAAAATTATTTGATTCTGGGACCTCCAATAGAACATCTTACCACAGACGTAACAGCCCCACTTACGAAGCATATGGGAACAGGTAAGAACAAAAAAGCATAAAAGCCAGTCTAGCGTAACCCACGTTGACAGCCAAGCTAGTTCAGAATCGGAAGCTTCAGGCGATGATCCTCCCGCAAAAGTAGAGTCCGATGATTTTATCGTATTTGGAACTCGCGCGGATGTACAAGATCAAGCACCTGTACAAGATGCAAGCCATAGGTAAGAAATAAATTAGATACACATGCTACATTGAACAGGGATCTTCTTTGAGAGTAAGGCGATGTTGACCTGGCTTCTTGCAGGCGTTTACCGGAATCCAAGTACACGTCCACGGCAAGCAAGGCTGTGAGTCAGCGACCAGCGGCGGCTGAGAAAAAATTGAGCCCCATGGAAAAACTTAAGCTGAAAATGCGTACAGCATTCGATGATCAAAGTAGGAAATATGAAGTATATCTCATCCCCATATGGATATCATATTACTAAAATGCCCCATATCATTCCCATAGTTGAAAAAGATGAGCAAACCAAACGGAAGAAAGAGCGGGATGCGGAGATAGACAGACTTCATGCTACCGATAACAGTGATGCATTATTACGGCTTACCATGTCTAGCCAAATATCACAACAGGTTGGCCAAAATACCGATGGAAAGCCGGCCGCAACCCATGACAAAAGCCACATGCAGCTTAGTAGAGACAGGCGCCATGAAAAGAGATACCGCTCACCACCATCCCGATCTCTGAGTCCTAGAAAACATAGACATAGGTCAAGATCTAGGGACCGTGAAAGAAGAAATCGTTCGCCAGAGAGACACCGTTCACGGGGCCATAAGAGCAGGAGGCGATCACCTTCTCGATCGAGGTCTAGAGGCAGGTGAGCAGATGAACCAGTATGCCAAGCTTAAGGCCATTTTGGGAGGTTGGTGATGAATTTGGGGGGAGAACGAGACGTATGAGTGCGCGATATGGACCGAGGGCACCATGCTGCTAGGTGATACCGACCTTATTGCTTTACTGACAAATTTTTGCTTATTTTTTGTCTTCAACAGATAGATAAAAATTGTATACAGTGGCCCATAGATAATTAGATGGGTATTTGGGGGGAGAGCGAAGCAATGACATTAAGTATAGGGAGTTTTGTACTTTTGCAACGCTTTCCCAAAAAAGCACCCCTGAGCATTTGTGTACACAATAAAGCTCAAATTTGGCGATCACTTTGTATGTTAAGCGTGAAGTTGGCTTGCGTTGTTTGTTCTTTTTTTTTTCTTTTCTGGCTGGACTTATCCGTTATTTCCTTTCTTCTTCTTCTTTACTTGTTCATTTGCTGTTCATTTCGAAATGGACCTGCCATCACCACCGGCTACTCCGCGCGAGCACACAACACAAAAACTATCCAAAAAATCTACAGAATCCGCACAGACCTCTCCTCCAATTCTAGATTCCCGCTCCAACAAATTCGATCGACTCCGAGAGTCCAGCAAGTCAAACCCTATGTCACTAAAGTAAACCTGCTGTTCACAATATCACCTGATAAATCTATTGTTTAAATTCATCATGACACAAATTCTCTCTCTCATTAGAAGGAGATCAAAATCCGAAGAAAATCTTACTACATTAATGCAGAGGAATGTATTCAGGAACTCTCAAAGGAGTCTGTTGGCAGCTCAGCATAAATCGATCGTATCACGACCTTCAGTGAGACGACGGCATAGTTCTTGCGTAGAAATGAATTCGAGAGACACAATGCGCATCGCTACAATCTATGGATGGGTCACCAGCGATGTAGACTATGCCGACCCAAATAAGTCATCACCACTCATTATACTTTCCAACGTCGATAAGAACTCCAGGTAAAGTTCAGGATGGGCATTTTTGGATGATTAATCTTGGCGTTGTGAAAACGACCAACGGTCACACCGGCCCTGCATTCCCTTCTACCCATCCTCTTCCAACGTATCCATTAATTGGTATCAATTCGATTAAAAAAAATTGTCTTCATTAGGAATCGACGACGAGCTACAGCTGCCACTGATCAACTACTTTCCTCCAATACTTTTATTCATCCACTCGATAAATTTGAGGATAATAAAAAGTACACTCGACAACGAACTCAGTCGTCAGGATGGACAGAACTCTCCACGAAATCAGCGAAACCTTATCAGGAAATTACTCACGCTTCCCGCCGACGGTCGTTGTATGCCACTCGCTCAGCTACACAACCAATTCTTGCTACTACAGGAAAATTTTCAAAATTGCTCATACGACGACGGAAACTAGGCCGGATTCCTATGTCAAAGTCGTTACCTTCACTCCTGGTGTCCACTTCAACAGATGCTGGACACAACCTACCTCCACATGTGGATCATAAGTACGCGACAGAACAGGTTCCTAGTTTACCCACTGCACCTGCGGCTTTAAAAAAGTTTCAAAAGAACGCAAACGGTTCAACGGCAAATCTATCAATTCGTACCTGCAAGACTGAGAGTATCATTGATGTCCTGCTTGCAGCTGTAACTGTGCAAGACAGCGATGCGAGCGACATAAGGAATGGACGAGAAGAAGTGATGAATGAAAAGGTTGACGAAGCTTCACCTAACGTCCCTCAAGTTAGCACCTCTCCACCGGAACGACCACTTCCACCTGTTGAAAACGACCCTCGTGTGTTTGATGTGTTGGAGAAAGTCAATACCTGTGTCATTAATTATATTACACCAACACAACCTGTAGGCGGTGAGCTGGCATCATCGTCTATGGAAAGAGTTGGGAGCACGCCCACTGCTGGAGCAGTCATCAGTGCTGCCACTATTGAAAAATTGATTGAAAAACTCACCAGCGATATAGGTAAGTCATGCTCAAACTATATAGAGCGTCGAATATGGCAACTAACTTAGCCTTACGAAGATACAAATTTTCTTTTGGACTTTTTCTTGACCTACAGACAATTCATATCACCTGTTAAACTGTGTAAATGGTTGATGCTTCGCTTTCGTTGGGCAGTTATGGAAGAAACAGAAGTGCGACGAATTGTCCGTATTCGGTATGTCATTAGATTTACTTCCACCAATGTGTACATCATCAGCTAAACCCCTGTTCATAGCACATTTGTTGTCCTGAGATATTGGATGACTTATTTTTGGATTCAAGACTTCAAACCATCAAGAACACTTCGCTTCATCCTCTCTACTTTCCTATCCCAGCTTCGAGCCCATCCAGCCGTTGTGGATTCTGATCGTGACACCCGCATTATTCGCAACCTACGAAATGTTTTCAAAAAGCAACGAAAGTTGCATTTATCTGATGAAATGCAACTATCTTTATCGAGAGAATCCGCCATCAACATCCTTGACAATGATACGATCACCGAAGTGTCAGAATTTAGGCATTCTGATGGACTGCAGCCCAGGAAAGATGGCCGCAAAGATAGCGCAATTGGCATGCCTCCGTCCCATCACAAACACAGTATCTCACTGGACAATACTCGAGAGCCCAAACCTTCTCTATCCACTCCAGTGGTACCTATCTTGAAGAGATCAAGGCGAATGTCCGAAAATTCACAACGTGGTGTTAACGATTCAAATGAATGGGCAGCAAGACTGACATTCGGCTTACGTTCAGTGAAGCGAACGGTCCCAGCAATGTATCGTTCTCTCGTTGAAGGATTTGTTGGAAACAACACTTCAGATAATGCCTGTAAATGTGATAATTTTGGACAGGAGTCAAGGATATCTCAAGGCTCATCCGATGATATGATGGACTTGCGGTCATACAAAAGCAATTCTTCCAAATCAGCTACTCTGAACGCTTCCTATAGGAACAGAAGGGTTGGCAAATCAAGTAGTCATATTGAGCAGAGCTCCGGAAACGAATTGAGATTATATGCTCCACGACCACGGCCTTCGCAGTCTCTTACAGAACCTCCTCGAAATTACTCGGAATTTTCTATTGGCAGCGATATGTACCAACAACCGCACCCAAATCCCGCATGTCCTTACCATCTTTCCATCTCTTCACCCAATGTGGCATCTCCACCTAATATTTCATATGTACCATCAACACTAAGCAAAGCCAAATCATTTAGCACCGACATGGAAAGCTCTATTCATAGTGGATTCAGGATCGATATGCAGTCCAACATTACCCTACGCCATCCTCAAAAGCCCTTCATTTTACAACACCGATCGGAAGTCATAATGCAGCAATTTTGCATTATTGAAAAAGAGCTTCTTGAGCGCGTCACATGGGTGGAGATTGTAGAAATGCGGTGGAAGAAGACAAGAGCACCTGTTTCTCAACGCTCTGGCGAAGGAAATGGCTCTGCTTCGAATGTTTTGGATTGTAATATTGACGCCGTCATAGAATGGTTCAACATAACTTATATCTGGGTCATCTCGGAAATTGTCAGCATTCATTCCCTTGAAGTTCGAGTTCAAGTCATTGAAAAGTTCATACGAATAGCTTTGGTAAGTGCTATGGGAAGAAAAAGAAAAGTAAACCAACGCTGAATACTAATCCGCGCTCATTTTGACGTAAATGCGTGCTAGAAATGCTATCATCATCGCAACTACAGTACACTGTTGCAAATTCTCCTAGGTCTTCAGTCGCCGTATGTTTCACGCTTAAACAAGACATGGAATCGAGTAGACCAATATGAAAGGCAGATCTTCGAAAGGCTCAAAGATCTCCCCAATCCTGAACGAAATTGGAAACGAGTTCGCAATTGCATGACCAGTGCTGTGGAGGCTGTGGCAGAAACGCAAGCAGTGGAGGCGATCTTGAGCGATGATGGCCCAGACCAGCCAATGTTCTTGAGTCAACGGGGAAGCATCCCCTTTTTGGGTATGTTGAAGTTGGCCCTAACATGTCCCTGAACTTTATTATTCATTTCGTACATTTTACTGCTCTCAGGTCTTTATTTGGCCGATATGACGTCCAATGCTGAAATGCCAACATTCATATCCAATTCGGCTGCTAGGGCAGATAGTGCCCCCTCTACAGACAACAATGGTACGCACGACCTAGTTAATAGGTTGGCTAAGACCCCCCTTGTCAATTACAACAAGTTCCGCATCACAGGTTAGTTATCACTAGCACACTTTGCTGAATCTACCCCCGTGCTAATCAAATCTATCAATAGCATCCGTCGTTAAGCATGTCATGGCATTCCAGTTACTGGCAAAATGTTACCAGTTTGAGCGATACGATTCAGTATACGATTATCTGAAGCACATGGTGTGCATGGATAACGATGATATACGAGAAGCTAGTTTCCAATGTGAAGAATGACAGACCACGGCGTAATTTGCACAATAAAAGTCTATTTTATTGCAAACTCTCTATTTTTCATGTCGCTTGTCTATACGCATTGAGTTGCAGCACATTCGGAGTCTTATGAAGTAGTGTAGTTCAATCCCATGTTTTTGACTATGATGACATAGCGGTATCCGAGAAATGAATCACTGCAATAAGTTGAAATTGCTGCTTGTCGGAATGGATTATACGGTACTCGCGGTAGATAATGGCTCAGCCGACTGACGCCATCCTATTGAATATGTTACATATGGTACACGGGTGAGAAGAAAAAGAGGCTTTCCGGTGTTCTCCTCTACAGCTAAGCTTTTTTAGCACGCTCTGAATCTTCAAGATCCTGACTGCCAGCGTTCTGCTTATTTTTTTGATAGCAATTTCGAAACGCTTGCATTTCAGCATTGCAAAGTCGCCAGTCGCGTTTGTCTGCATAGCATATCAAGAGATTATCGTTTTCTTCCTGACAGCCTGTCTTTTGTATACGTGCATCATATGCGTCCTCTTCTTGATCTGAAATGTCTGGGTTTGCTGTGCTTTTTTCTGTCATTACGGAGAGAGATAAAAAGAGAAAATAATGGTGTGTTTAACTTCACTCCGAGCTGGCTTATCCGCCTATGGTCGTTCCACCCGATTTCAGACGATCGTTTTCTTTGAACCCTTTCTGTATTTTACCAACCTATGTGGCCCTCCTTTTCTTACAGCAAACCATTTACTTTCACTCGCAATAAGTTTTGATAGCATCATATTCAGGTACCTTCGTGAAAAAGTATGGTAAAGCGGAAAACAATAATATATGTATAAAGAAATGGTATGTTAAGCTACTAAGACTTTAAGCTCTGTCGACGACTTCCAGACGCAAGTTTGCAGGATGCAATAGACCTCCGCGTCCGAATTGAAGCTTTTCCCTGTGAGGAGAATCAGCAGGCAGCTTGAAAACATAGCGTTGTACTATAAATGTTTTGCAGTTAATATATAGAGCGCCTCCATCAATTCATTACAGCATATCCACTTACATAGCATAGTAAGGACAACACGTTGTTCGATCATAGAGAACTGTTGGCCAATGCAGGAGCGACTGCCGAAAGAGAATGGTACCCACAAGTATGGGTCAACCTTTTTACCACCATTAGCCGACTCATCGAATCGCTCAGGTCGGAACGTTTCAACATCATCTCCCCAATATTTCTTGTTGTGATGCATAGAATAGATAGAGAGAATGACTCTGGAACCCTTGGGGAGGAGGTAGCCGTTAGTGAGATGGTAGTCGTCAGCCATAACTCGACCAGGCAACTGTGCAACCGATGGGCAAAGTCTCAATGATTCCTTGATGCAGTTGTCAATGAAAGGAAGGTGCTTAATCTGTTCTGAAGTGGGAACTGTTCCATCATCACCAATGGCGGCCAAAGCCTCTTCACGAGCTCTGTCCTGATATTCAGGATGGAGAGCCAAGTAGTACAAAGTGCATGCAAGAGAATTGGCGGTGGTGTCGTGCTAAAAATGAAATTGATAAGGTTGAGTTTTGTCAATACCGGAGTACGCAATCTCATTCATGTAGCTCATGCTTTTTTAAAAAGAAAAAAAGGTATGCACTTACTCCTGCCAAAAAGAAGATGGACAAATTATCTCGAAGTTCCTGATCGGTCAATTTCGCGACAGTTCCTTCACTTTCGGCGGCTTTAATCATCATGGTCAATAGATCACTGTTTGCTGTAATGTTTTGGGATTCAATCTCTGCCTTCTTCGTTTTGATAATGTCGTACAAAAGCTCATCAAACTCCTTCAGTTTCTGATGCATTTTGTACCTCTGTCCAATTGGGAAGCGATCCAAATATGGGAACAAAAAGTATAGTCCATTCAATGCACCCTTCATCAGGTCGTTATACACAGTGACATATCGACCTTTAGGATTGCGTAGCGATTGGAAGTCAAAGCCGAAAGCTGCAAGACCAAGTGCATCCAATGTCAATCTAAAATGGAATAAAGTGGTTTAGTGCCGTGAAACCTTCACATTCAGTTTCCCCACGCAGAACATACCTTTGAAACATGGAATGGATCTCTACTGAGCCTTCGTTAGCCATATCCTTGTCCATCTGTTCGCTCATTTCATTTGCACAATGGCCGAAAAGCTTGGTATCCCAGCTTCTATGGAATGCAGGGTTGGCAACGGCTCTGTGTCTCTTCCACACATCACCGTTGGAAAAGACCAGGTTGATACCTCCAAAGAACTTTCGAACAAGGGTATACTTTGGAGACGTTTCGGTTGTATCCTTCAAAAACATGTCGTTGTTGTTGAGGAGAACACGTGAATATTCTGGAGTGGCGAGAAAGATGATGTCGTTTCCAGCCATCCTTGCACGACCTATGCCCTGATCCTCCAACAGCGCTTTTAAGTTGGCATTGTAGCGGTCGACAAAGGGATCATTTCTGAACAGACTTATCACATTCTTTCTGTTGTTCAATTTTGGAATGTTACGGAAGCCTTTGGGTCTGTTCAACTCCAACTGGTTTATCAAAACATAGTATGCAGTCAGCAAGACTGCTGCAGAGCCAAGAATGGTAGAACGATTTTCCTTGGCTGTCAACTTTTCAATGAGTTTCTCCACATTCTCATTGCCAGACAGTTTCTGGATGATAGAATCAATGTATTGTGTTGCTGACGCGGTGATGGTTGTCATGCTTGCCAGTTTGAAGTAATAAGTGACTGAGAAGAAAATAGTCGTTTAATTGCATGCTCATTTTTTAAATAATGAAAAAGTTCACGCGGAGTTTCATTGGTACCACTGCCCGCTGAGTTCCATTTTTGGAGAATATCGGTACAGATAATCGTCTTAAAATACGTCACCCCCTTATTTGCGCGCAGTTGACGGCGGGTAATGAGCAATTGGCGCTGTACCAAACAGAAAAAAAAAATGCACATGGTCAGCGCCATAGACTCCGGATAGCAACAACCCTTGGTGAAATGCATAGTTGTCCCCTTGCAAGCTTGAATCCATTTGCTGCTTGAGTCCCATACACCAGCATAACTTAAAATTCTGCAGTATAGAGTACACACCACTTGGTATTTCATGACAGTAAATTTGACTCATAAATCGAAAATACCGGACTCGACCGCTCTTCCGGCCCATAGAGCTGGCGACATCGCGGATGAATATAATTGCCCTTGATCTGGTGTGATAACAAAAAATTCCAAAACTAGATGCCTAATACTTAGCATAGTTGTATTGCGAGACCTCAAAAATAACAACTTTGTAAAGGTCATCAGCGACCAGGCGAAAATGAAGGCGACAGTGGACGAAACATGATCAAGACAGTAAAAAAATTGTACTAATGGATGCTCTTCAGGCTGGAGAACTGTTTGAGTAGCCCTCGCCTTATTTTTAAGGTGTAATGTTTATAACGAAACCAATGCAAGTTCTCGAGGTCCACCTATCTCACCTCCTGATCCCTTCTTCTGTCAGCAAATCTGATAAGAAACTAAGCACTTTTATTGTTTGCTTTCACATACAGGCATTGCGCGTTCAAATTGCCGCCTGTTGGACTATTATTTATTTTGCATACGTGGTGAGTGGTGCGTGATGCTCATAAAATTTTAGCCGATGCATGTGAATCCGTTGACGATTCATATGGAGAAGGCGACAACGACATGAGACAACTATGGCTGGAAGACGAGGTCTTTATGAATGGCCTTTGAAAGTGACCTCAGAAAAGATTTTATTTAATGAACGTCAAATCTGAGGCAAGTTCTGATTGAAGCTGAGGTCGAAAAGCTTGCCAGGGAGACACTGCGGATGAAGGGTAAATTTATTCCATGGTGTAATATCAATAGTATGCCTTTCAACCCCGGACGACGATGCCGACAGTCACACTCGAACTTCGGTATCAACCAGTGGTATGCAACTCAAGAAATAAAGTACAGGGGTAATATGAATGTGCATCACCCAATCATACCACGTATTACCGAGTCCAGGTTACATCCGGAGTACCCAACCTTGGCTATGACTTGAACGAAGTGACTTGAACGTGATGATGTGACTTGACTACTCGCACACAAAGGCTAGCATCAGTGACTTCCCATTTCCTTTTACCTTCATAGCAATGCTGCTGCCAAACGTAAGAACAGGAATTGGACCCAGTTGAGAGAGTATATAAGAGTGACGCGACATCTAGCTGATCAAGAGCGAACAAAGCACATACCAAACGACTACATTTGATATGAAAAGTACTCGTATAAGCGAATGAATCTCAGCTTTAAGAGACAATACCAGTAACTACTCTTAGAGTGGCAGTCGAGAGGACATCTTACAAACCTATGCAACTTATGAAAATGGGATACCTGCAAGTCGCTGCAAATTATAGGTTTCAAAGATGAAAGGAGAGTTAAGCGCTGTGTTTAATAGAAAATACAATGACAACATCAGATATCAGTCCCAGCGTATTGATACTCGGTTCGCTCGAAAAGATCTAATAGCAGCTCTGGCTGCCACAGATATATCAAAAGATAACGGTGCGAAAACATCAGGTCAATATTGAAGATTCTACCGTAATATAATATATTCTAATGATAGTATCTCTCTTTCGGCTTTTCGCATTCCAGGTTTTTTGGTTTTTCATATTTCATGTTCCAAATAATTCCAAATACCGATATTTTGGCGTGAGGTCGCAGACCGAGCGCTGTAAATGCTGTGGAAACATGCGACGGAGTCGATACCCGATGTGTGACTTCCTTACTGATTGTACAAGAAACGACTGGCGACGTCCCGTAGACCACTTGTGAAAAAAACGATAGATGGTTGTTCTAAAAGTTATTTACTAGTAATCTTCATCTAAGCTGAAATGAGACATGGTTGGTGACAGCAAATTTGGGGAGAAAAAAAAATCAACTGAGGGACGCAAACGAAAACAGTCAATAAGGCTCTAAACGCCTGACTGTTTGCCAACTCACTTTCTCTTGACTCTCTTCCCCTCTCTTAAACAATGGTTGCCTCTGTTCCAGTCTCTACCTTGCTTTCCTTATCCCGTTATAATTTATGGGCATATAAACAGCTCTTAGATGGGTTGAAGTCTCTGCCGGATAAAGACTATTATGGACACGCAGGTTTAGTGTTTAGATCAATCCATGGCACGTTGAACCATGTTCATGCTGCCGACGTCAATTGGTATGCATTAAATCTTCATATTATTGGTGTCATAAATTCTTTCTCACCGGTCCAACGCGGGTTTTAGGTACTGTCGATTAACCAACAAATATCCAGAAAGCTACACAGCCATGCAATCGTTATGGCGCGCCAACGATTGTTACTCCACAAAAGACTCTACAGAAAGTCCTTGGGAGAGCTTTATAAAAGATAGGTCTGAGCTTTCCGGTCAAGTTTTGAAACAGGTAAGCAACAGTTAGCATACGGAAGGCGTGCAAGGACAATGACTCATGCGTCTAAATTAGGCACAAGACTACATTGATTTCCTATCGGCTTTGGATAGTGATATTGAAATACCTCCTATGACATTCGTAACAAGCGGCGGTGTAGAATTCAAGGATCAAGATGTAGGATTGACTTTATTACACGTATTCAACCATGCTACGCACCACCGTGGACAAATCACTGCTGGAGTAACAAACCTTGGCTACCCTCCAATTGATGGCCTGGACTACGTGTACTTTCTTCGACTTTCTAAAGAGTAATCTTCTATATTAATATCATTGCTGTAATGAAGAGTATAAAATATCTTTTGAGAATTCAACGCTGGATATACAGCTGCGCCACGCTTGATTTTTGATATGATAAAGGCTTCTGCGGATGTTGACATCCGTCGACGACAATCAGATTCACATGACTAAACAGCACTACTGAGTCTCGGCTCTTTGCTTCGACTGTTCCTAAGTCTCGTTACTATGCAATGACTGATCTCCTTCATGCAAGGCATCCATGCTAAGAAGGTAAGGGCACAGGAACGCTACAATAAAGCAACAAGAAATCGCTTCCAATTTCACTACAAAATAATTACCGACGATGTCATTGGATACCAAATGTTCTGTGGTTCATCGTGCAGCAGAAAAGGAACATCCGTTGCCAGCAGCATACTGTATATCAATACGCTGACCGCTTCCACGTGAGCTGTGTGATCATTCTGCTAAATGCCAACGTAGTATCTGCTCTGCCAAGCGGCAGAGTGGAGATTGGAGGTGGTTGTTAATACCTATTTACAGGGTGGCAGAAGAAAGCTTTTTACAAGATGTATGTGTTAAGTAAAAGGCGCACAAGTGTTCATTTAAGAAATTCATCAGTAGCTCGAATATTGGCGAATGCCAGTGACCAGCTCCTCTGAGACGATCTAAACCACATGACACCTCCGCCTGCAAAGACAATCCGATCAAGTACCTGGGATTTGCACATATTAGATGCCGATACTAATGTAATAAGTAAGCATAAACTTGATCTGTCTCTAAATAGGTACCAGTTTGTGGGGTAGCTTAATCCCTTAAATCTCGCTGTACCGTTTTTGTAATCGTTTCAACAAGCAAAATGTTCAGTAGCAATATATATGAATGTTTGCCATACACATCCAAGATTGAATTATAGAAAAGGTATCGCTGGCCAATCAATAGTACAAGAACAATCGCACGCTACACTATCACAGGAGAAAGATGGCTGCTCGTTGGTCGGCTGAAGCCAATTCAGCCAGATACAGCCAACCGATTTTTTCCTTTACGGAATCAAACAGATAACACTCGTAGCACAAGCAAATGCTAAGCATTTCTTCGGAAGCAATCTGGAATATTTGGATTATATAGGAAGGTAGCTGACCCTCATGAAATTCATGAGTGAAAGACCGTTGTCTATATACTGTTTATATAAACTCAATGGTAGCAAGTTACACTTTCAACTCAACTCTATGTTTTAAATGCATTCTGGAGAAAAACATCGTATCACAGAAACTGGAATCAACATAACATTATCTCATCTCAGTGGCGTATAAATACAAGACCAACTCTCATACTTCATTACTTGCGTTCACAACTCGATACAGTCTATGACCTGCTCTGTCCCAATTCCCACTCTGATTTCTCTAGCCCGTTTCCATCACTGGGCATATAAGCTACTCCTGGATGGTTTGCAATCAATCAGCGACCAAGATTATTATGGCCACGCCGGATTAGTGTTTAGGTCCATCCATGGTACCTTGAACCATGCTCACGTAGCCGACGTTACCTGGTAGCTATCACGTTCGCGTTACATTCATTTAGACAGTTTAAAATAGCGAAACTTGCTCATTTTCAAAATTCAGGTGCAGCCGATTGCATAACCAGTATCGGCCGGATTATGAAGACATGCTTTCACTGTGGAGACACAACGACTGCTACTCCACCAGAGATTCCAAGACAAATCCTTGGGAAGGTTTTGTTAAAGATAGATCTGAGCTGGCCAAGCAGATTTTGCAACAGGTTAGTTATGAGCTTCAGTGAGACCACGTCTATTGAAAGTTGAACTAATTGGATTTTTTTATTTTCATTTCTTTTAAATGATAGACTCAAGATTTGGTTGATTTTCTATCGGCGTTCGAAGAAGATACTGAAATTCCTGCTCTTTCATTTGTGACCAGTGCTGGTATTGAGTTCAAAGATCAAGATGTAGGATTAATTCTCTTGAACCTTTTCAATCATGCTACATATCATCGTGGACAAATCACAGCTGGAGTGACTAACCTTGGCTATCCACCAATTGACGGACTCGATTATATTTTTTTCCTTCGAGCTGACGAACAGTGACTCACTTTTTGGCAGGGACGTCCTGAATACGCGACGTGCTTTCTTCTATGCAGAAACCAAATAAAATACTATCATATTGATGTATTATAAGCAATATCATCTTCATTACCTATTCTTAATGTGCAGTAAGTGGAAGAGAATATCATGTAAAGGAGTTTGGCCGAAGCATCGGTTAATAATTGAACTGCTGCACATTGGTGCACGTGACCCTGAGACTTTCGAAAAAAGATAAAATCAAAATCTGATGGAGCTGACTGTCAAAACTACGTTTGGTTTCCTAGACAACTTACCACAAAATGTTCAGTCGCTCCATCGCACACATCTCCCGCAAAACATCAGCGTTCCAAAATCTTGGACAGCTTCGCTTCAAGTCCACAGGTCTTAGCGGACTCAGTGTATGTTGCCGTGTTTCTGAAGCTCTTTCTAGATAGGGTAGCGAGATATACTTGGACTGACACATTTAACAGGCACAAAAGGTTAAAATCAACAAGTCAAATGCTTTGAAACCTTTGGTACCTGCCAAAGATCTCGTCTTTGGCAAAACTTTCACAGATCATATGTAAGGTCTCATTGATTCGGATTGAATGAACGATAACCCAGCTGACTCGTTCTTCTTTCGCAAGGATTACTGCCGAATGGGAGGAAGGTCAAGGCTGGAAAGCTCCTGAAATTAGACCTTTTGAGAACTTCCAGATTTTGCCCAGTGCTGTTGTCTTCCACTATGCCTTGACGGTAAGTTTGTGTTATTGTATCTGCACAAATTTTTTTTTTACATTTCGATTAAACAGTGTTTTGGTGAATTAGTGCTTTGAAGGTTTAAAGGCATACAAGGGTAAAGATGGCAAGATTCGTCTTTTCCGACCTGACATGAACATGAAGAGAATGAACAACTCCGTGTCACGTATTGCCTTGCCGGTAAGTAAAATGATTACACGATTCTCGAAAAATTAAGTCTTTAAGCTAACATCCATCTTGTTATAGTCCTTTGATGGCGAAGAGCTAATCAAGCTCATCGGAGATTACTTGAAGATTGATGAGCGTTGGATTCCTAGTGAACGTGGATACTCTTTGTATTTGCGTCCTACTTGCATGGGTACCCAAGAGACTTTGGGTGTCAACCCATCAAGCCGTGCATTGTTGTTCGTTATTGGATGTCCCGTCGGTCCCTACTACAAGACTGGTTTCGCTGCTGTGTCCTTGAAGGCCACTACCGAGTTCGTCCGTGCCTGGCCTCGTGGTACCGGTAGCTCAAAGATTGGAGCCAACTACGCATCAGGTACATATTTTCCATAGTTCGAGCAAACGGAACGAAGTGCAACCATTATTAACATGCTTGCCCTACTTAAAGGAATTCTTCCTCAACAACTTGCTGCCAAGGAAGGATATCAACAGAACTTGTGGCTCTTTGGAGGTATGTGTAATTGAACATTTCAGAAACCAGTTTGATATCTTGGGCTAATAAGACATTGTATAGACGAACATGAGCTGACCGAGGTTGGTACTATGAACTTGTTTATCCTTATGAAGAACGAGAAGGGAGAAAAGGAACTTGTCACTCCTCCTTTGGATGGATCTATTCTTCCAGGTGTCACTCGTGACTCCATTATTGAGCTCGCTAAGGAGTGGGAATCCGAGACTGGCATCAAGGTTGTTGAGAAGAAGATGACCATGCCTCAACTTCGCGATGCCATTAAGAAAGACCGTATCGTTGAGATGTTTGGTGCTGGTACCGCCTGCATTGTCTCTCCCATCAAGTGTATCAACTACGAAGGTGAAGATCTTCAGATCCCTCTTGACCCCAGCAACCCTGAGGAACAAGCTGGACCTTTCACCAAACGCGTGAACAAGACCATTTTGGACATTCAATATGGTGAGGTTGAGCACCCATGGTCCGTTGTCGTCAACTAAGTTCGCGTTTGATACATTGAACTTCATACACCATCCATGATAAAATCATTAGATTATAAAATCCAAATACACACAAAAAAAAAATTATTATATATTCGCGGACTAATGCAAAGTTATTGATGAGCTGAAAAGGAGAAGAAAGTAGTATGTATTGATATTGTACAAATTGGCCCTCCGGGAGCTATTTACGCATATAAATATTGCGGAAAAATATAGCAAATTACTCCAAAGGTTAGAATATTATCCCTTGTTCGTTCTAGTCGTGCTGACCGTTCGAGATGTGCGAGATTTAGATGATGCAGCTTTCGATTCGATTGCGACCGCTGCGTCTCCTTTTCGGCTACGTGGATTGCCTGATCTCTGTATTGACTTTCCCTTATCGTCTCCTGTTGCTGTAGCATGATGAAAGGGATTAGCGATAACGAAAGTATATAGTAATAAAGCACCCCAAAGATAAAACCGCTATTTTACCTGGTATTTGGGATGTACGGTCTTTTGCGTGCTTTCGCTCGTTTTTTTCTCGTTGACTTTCTTGTAGTTCGTGCTCTATCCTTTGAGCATCCTTCCAAACCATCGATGTCAATACACTTTCCGCTTCAACTATGCCATAGTGTTCGTCCAGCTACTTACCAATTGACCACCTTCCCACTCTGGATCCTCCATGAGGCGCTTCGTATGTTCGGTTTGTGACAAGATTAATATCCACATATCCAACAATTGATTGGTTTGATTCACGGTTTGCTTGAATTGCTAACGTGAGACAAACAGGTTTAACGCGATGACCCACAAGAACACGACAATGCATTAGGTATTTTACCTGAAGATTTGCCTTTGAATGCTCCAAGTTCAGATTGATCGTCTGCACTGCGGAATTGAGCTTACGTACAGCCTCCAGCTCTTGTTTTCGCTTCGCATTGACTTCTGGGGAGTTGCTAGGATCTTCTATTGGTGCCTGTGAATCTGTCATGGGTTGACTCGACGATGACTTCGAATTGGTGGCTCCTACAGACTGCTCAGATACAGGCGCATTGTCGGATTTTCCATAATTCTTCGATGTTATATCCATGTTATCATTCCCTACGGTATCTGATGAGCTGGTATATTTCTTGGTGCTCATCAAAGTAGAGCAAGTGGAAAACGTTTTGAGAGCGTCGCGTGTTTTTTGGGGATTTCTGACTCACGTCGAAAGCAGTCCAAATTCACGCACGAAATTCGAAATTATTCGGTTGTTGTAGCAGCCTTACTTTCAGCTTGAATTTCATTCACTCACTGTGAAAGTCGACATGGCCAATCAAGACACGCAAAACGACGTAAATGTCAAGGACCTTGCAGTCCAAGTTGACAATCTGACTTTTGGTTATGGTGGTCCTGATATTCTCAAAGACCTCAACTTAAGGCTACCTAGAGGTGCTCGCTGTCTGCTTGTCGGTGCCAACGGAGCTGGAAAGACCACGTTACTTCGCATTCTAGCTGGCAAGAGAATGACCCCAGGAGTTGTAAATATCTTAGGCGTCAACGCCTTCTTAGATGCTCCCAAAGGTGTGACCTACCTTGGTACAGAGTGGGCAGGCAACCCTGTCGTTAGAAGTGACTTGAAAGTCGACTTTCTTGTCAAGAGTGTAGGCGGCGATAGATGGCCGGATAGAAGAGACGAACTAATTGAAGTGCTTGATGTTGATACTAACTGGAAAATGCATCAAGTCTCGGATGGTAGGTAATCACAGTGGTAAACAGCATATCCTACTTTTTGCTGAGAGGCATTACGTATCAATTAGGACAGCGTCGACGTGTGCAGCTGGTAATGGGTCTGTTGGCGCCATGGGATATGTTGCTTTTGGATGAGGTTACTGTTGATTTGGATGTACTTGTTCGATCCGACTTCCTTGACTACCTGGAGAAGGAAACTGCGGCCAGAAACTCCACCATCGTAAGCTGAGATGACGTGCTGCATTATGATGCATGATTTTTATTCGAATTGCCTTCACGGGTCATATTGATGCACCTCCTTTCTAGGTTTATGCAACCCATATTTTCGACGGACTTGGTGAATGGCCCACGCACATTGCTCATGTCTCAGACGGCACCACTATCTCCATTCATGCTATAGACGACTATCCAGAATTTGATGCTTTCAAAGAGCGTCATTTGAGCGAAAAAAGAATAGACAGTCCTTTGATGGCCCTTTGCCTATCATTGCTTAGAGAAGACAAAGTCCGCGAGAGAGCTAAGAAAGCTCAAGGCAAACTTCCAGCTGTCGACCCTAGAACCGGACAGCTTCATACTAGATGGGATGATTTGAGCGATGATATGAAGACATATGGCGACAAATACGTAAGCACTTAAGCGTTGCTAACCAGTGTTGCAAGCTTTGTTACTAAAAAAAAATTCATCCTTTGCTTTCAACAGTTCAATTACTGGAAAAACTGAGACAATTCACTAACATGTGAAATTTTATTTTATTAAAAGAGTTTGTACTCCATATTCGTTGTCAACATCCCTTCTGAAAATGTCATCTAGCATTAGCAATGGCAAAGTTCCTCATTCTGCACATAAGTCTGGTGCACATTCCTCCACAATACGCCAGCTAATAAAGAGCAAAGTCGATAGCCTGTCACCGGAAACACGCCGTACCTTGCTTATCTTATTACGAGCGTTCGCGTTAGGTTGGTCAGTTTCTGCTTTGCCAGCTCTCTTAGGTCTATATATAAAGATGTTGGTTAAAGCCCTAAAAACCAACTCATTGCCAAGCATGCAAAAGCTACTCAACGATACCCTTCGCAAGTTATATAATGGAGTTGCTAGAAACGGCGTGCCATGGCTATTTTGTGGGTCTCTAGGTGGACATCGACTTGTGGAACCAATCCTTAAAAAATTGTTGAAAGATACTCAAAGTACCAAAGAGTCCACCAAGGACCAGAAGCGATTATTAGTCTCGTCGTTCATTGCGTCTGCTCTGACAATATACAGTGTTCATCGATTATTCCCAAGAACTGGCACTTTGGATATAACATTATTTGCAGCTGTTCGTGCAGGTGATGTTTTTGCCCATCGACTTGGTAGCAATGAATATGCAAAGAAGAAACTTCCTTCGTGGCTTTTGCAAAATGGTGATGTTTTAGTTTTTGTGTTGGCCTGTACTGAGATTATGTTTTCTTGGTTTTTTGCTCCAACACGTTTACCAAAGTAAGTTCAACAGACCAGTATCTTTGCTACTTGCCATCAAATCACTTATTTTCACATCCTCATTGTGCTTCACTATTAGATCATATAACAATTGGATCTCAAGGATGGCAAATATGGATCAAAGACTGTTGGAGGCTCTAAGAATGATCCGCAAGGGCGAATTCGTTTATGGTGTATGTTTTTTGAAGTAATTGGCGTGATAATGAGACCAAAATTTATGCTTAAATCAAAATATCGTACTTGCCTTACAGAAAGATACCGGAACCCCTTCATTGCTTATGGATTACTGCTCCGACATTGGTCTCCCTCCATCCTATGGAGATCCGATAACTGGTAGAATTCACTGTGACCTGGTTCATGATGGACTTGCTGGTGGTTGTGAGGCTAACGCTGCTCGCAGATTCTCTAAAGGTTTTGCTCAAGCATTTCTGGTAAGACTATAGCTCTTATTTTTTTTTTACTGTTAAATTCAAAAACTTGGGCCGTTAATGCCGAACCCGTCAATTTATAGATTTACCTCCCTGTCCACTTACTACCCCCATTGATTTTCAAACGCAAAAAGCTGTTGGATAGCCCACTGGACAACAGTATTCATATCATTAAGGCAGCCATGAGGTCATCAGCATTCTTGGCGTCGTTCATCGCTTTAACGTGGTATGGCGTTTGTCTAACTCGGACGAGAATTGGCCACCAACTTTTACGAATCGACCAATCTCGACTGGACAATACCTTGGCACCACTGATTGGTTGTATGATGTGTGGTTTCTCCATTTTATTGGAAAACAAGCATAGAAGAGGTGAAATGGCACTTTATGTAGCCCCCCGTGCTATCTACTCTATAATGGAACGAGTGCTTGGACCCCATAGACGCGGACGCTCCTGGGAGAAATGGACTGCTGAAGCCAGCGAAATTGTTGTATTCAGTGGAGCTGTGGCTACAGTCATAGAAGCAATGTATAGACGTGACGACATGGTCCGCAGCTCGGTCAAAGGAATTATGAAATGGGTTCAAGACCTATGATTCACTACTTTCTACGCCAATTATCGGCGAGTAGTTCTATCGTACTCAACACAGTTACAGTAATAGTATGAGATTGTACTTTAAAACATACATACGCAAAAAAAGAGGTAATTTAGATCAAAATACGGTCCAATAAAACTAATAAAAGTAATAGAATCATACCGTCTGATATTTCAATCATGGTGCGATAACAACCTCCACCAGCTTCTTCGTGTCTACAAATTGACTTTAACCTGTAACTTCAGTGTCTAGCTAAGCGATTGCCCTTAGCACACCGATGACAGGAGGCTGGGCAATCAGTAAACACTTTGCTTTATGCAACCACGGGATTGGAGATTTTCTTCTCTCGGGTGTCGTTCCAGACAATGCCCTCTTGGCAGTTCGCTACATCGGCAGATCAGGCATGATTATCTCACCCGGCTCTTGATGTATGACTTCTTGCACAGCCACTTGTTCCTTTCACATCATGTCTAAGTTCCCACTTTTATTGAATTCAGCACAGTGCACGTATTTCAGATACGGTATCTCGAAAATATTCTTGAAACAACAGGCCAAAAATGTTGGATGGTAGAGCCCGGGTTTTGGCCAATGAGAACCCTTTTGTCCATATTTGGGATGATTCCTTGGCAGCCAAGGCGGTTGAGCTGGTAAAAATACCCTTCTCCGCCAATTAAAGAAGTTCTTGCGGACCAAACACACTTCACTCGGTCTTTGTTCTACTACTGGTCTTCTTGGCGATACTCTCGACTATGGAAACTGCTGTTGAACTTGCACCGGAAGCCTATCCGTGCCGCTGGGATGATTGCGCTAAATTGTACACTGATCCCGAACTGCTCTACCTTCACTTGACAACAGATCATGTTGGTCGCAAAGCAACTCGAAATCTCTGTTTGAAATGCCACTGGGCAGACTGCTCAGTAGAGACGGTCAAACGAGATCATATCACTAGCCATTTGAGGGTACACATTCCGCTAAAACCTCACCACTGCATGGTACGTACGGAGTAAAACCAAGTTAAACTTGACATTGTGATCAGTCCTCTAACCTTTTGAACATTAGTACTGTAACAAAACCTTCAAACGGCCACAGGATTTGAAGAAGCATGAAAAAACTCATACGGAGGAAGAAATACAACAAGCTTTGGCGACACAGCACTATCTTCAGCCATCGCCTACCGGTTTACAGCCATTAACTCCACCCCGCTACCCACAGTCTGACAAGTCTCTGACTCCTAACCATATTAATCAGCATTCACCATCGGGCTATCCAATATCACCACCTCAAAGTACTTATTCTGAAGGTATGCCGATAAAGAAATAGGCTCATGCTTGACCAGAATAATGTGTTAACGACTTCTTCCTCAGAATTGTTAGATTCTTTTAGTGTTCAGCCTAACACATCTCCTTATACCGATATTACCGATCAGTTTACTAGTGGCGAGAATGCTCTGGAGTTTAGTGCGGATGATTTCATTAATTTGCACAATGGCACTGTAGCGACTGGGGAGCCAACATTAGCGAACTCTAACAAGCGAGGTCGTGGTAGTGCGGATGCATCTGATGCTATTAATGAACTGTTCGCTGATGTACTGCAGAACAAAAAGTTCAAGTCCAACGATGGTTTAAAGCCGGAATACAGTCCAGGTACATGATTTTTTCGTTTCTATTTGGCAATGTGGTAAAGCTAGCTATTATGCAAACCTTTTGTTAACACTGTTCTATCTTTTGCCAAAGATGTGGTCAATCGGCTCAATACACTGTCAACGTTCGTGGATGGTCTTGACACGAATGCTGTAAATTTGAATGTTCAAGACGGACAAGATTTACTGTTATTCAATGAGTGGATCGCTCAACTCTCAAGCAACATTGGTCAAGGCGATGATGCTTTAGGTTTCCAGTTGAATCAATCACCTTTGTCGAATACGGCCTATCAAAGTACGCCTGTGAATGCACTTGGAGACAGTACATCACCTCTCGGTGAAGCCGCCTCATACTCCGCCATCTTCGCCAACCCTGCTGGCATTAATTACGATGCCGCTAATAACTCGCCATACGATATTGATCAAGACATCATGTCGACCTCTGCAGGAGCATTGTATCCAACAGCCGGTGAATCTCAGTATGTGCACTCAAAGCCAAGTGATGACTACAATATGACAATGAGCTATCCAGGCATGAATTCAACTGTGGGCACTATTGGCCAGAGACAACATTACTCCAATACCCCATCAATAGCTCCGACCTATTTCATGCCCAATATGAATGTTTCGCTCAATTATGGACGTTCCAATCAACCGGAAAAGCTTGACTACTCCACCTTGGCGCATAAGCGTACACCACGTACTGATAGTAGCTTACAAGTTAAGCCACATGTAGAGGAGGACTCTTTGCCCATCAAGGAGCAAGTGACTCACGAACGGAAGAAGAATGTTCAGACAGTCTTGTCGCAAATGGCGGGCCAAAGACAGAACTACAAACCACTTTCTCATAGGTTCACTCAGTTCATACAATACATTGCACCGGATCAAAATGCGGACAAGACAAATGGTACTAGCCGAGAAATAAGCCCCAGTCAGTCTGACGCAGCGTCCTACCCTGATCATGCAGTGGAAGATGAATCAGATAGTAATGTCGATATTTTGACCAGAAACATGGATAATGTTCATCTTGAAGATGGGCAAGAGCATGGAAAGAATGGCCCAAGTGCAACCACATCATTGTACCCAACCTCACCTGTCGAGGTTACCGAATCTTCTTCAGACATAGAGACACGAAGAAAGCATCTGCTTCTCTTACAACGGCTATATGAAGTTGTATCATCAAAGTATATTAATGCGGAGCATCAGCCAAGCGATGTGGTGGTGTCCTCCCCGCCAACTGTACCTGCTCAATAGTTTAAACATAATTTGGCCTTGTATTTTTTGGGATCTCCCATCCTTTTTTCTTATACACCACTACTGGATGCGATGCAGCCTTTTAGCCATGTACAGAGAATTTTTGTGTTGTTCTTTTGATATTTTTTGCATTCATAAACGAATTCTATACGATCTGAAATATTTGATTTCCGTTAGTATCCCCCAATGCTTCACTGTCTCCATGTGAACGCAACTATTTCCTATTTGGGCCCAATGTCGCTTGGTCAAAACCCACCCTTAGCACAAAATTCGACAGTCACTAAATACCAGAATTCAGACGAGGAACATGTGTCTTTCTCTTCCCCACCTTTCCATCTCTCTTCTTCTCACTCTCCTCTACAACATATCCCTTTACTCAACATGGATGCAGGTTGGTGTAATTTGAATATTCTACATGTTTACTTGTCGATAAAAGAAAATTCAACTCTTCCACCTAGCTACTGTCGCCAAGGTTGCAGCCGCCGGCATCCTCGGCAGTATGTATATCGACTCCAAGCTCCTCATAAGCCGTGACTGGACTCAAATCAGAGCAGCTATTCTTATGCAATCATAGTACGTCTTGTGTCCATTTCAGTTTGTCCGTCTATCCGCGGAACCTGCCTAATAATCTGACCTTTTTGCTCTCAGCCATTTCATGAGAAAATTCAAGGGAAAGCTTAATTACTTTTACCGTTTCAAGGAAAAGCTCGAAGCTCACCCCGACAAGATCTTTGTCATCTTTGAAAATGAATCATGGACTTATAAAGATATGGACAGAGGTAGGGATCGAATATTTCAATTCACAGTTATTAGCTAGAACCGCGATGTTTTGTTGGTAAGTCGGCTTACTAACAACAAATTAGCCTCAAGCAGAATTGCCAGATGGTTCCAGTCTAAAGGCATCAAAAAGGGTGATGTAGTTTGCATGATGCATCAGAACCATCCTTCTCTCTTCGTTGCACAGTTCGGACTCATGAAAATCGGTGCCATCCCCGCCCTAATCAACAATCAGTTGACTGACGCGGCATTGATTCACTGTGTTAAGGTCGCCAAGTCTAATTTCTTTTTGTTCGACCCCGTTTATGCTGGAGCTGTACAACCTTGCGTTAAGGAACTTTCGGATCTCGGTATTGAAATTTGGGGCTACGGTGAACATGAACCTTCCATGCCCTTTGCAGAAACAGTTACCAAAGATACCTTGGCAAGATTTTCAGATGCAGAGATCAGTGAAGAGTACATTGAAAACGCCCAATATGGTGAACCTGCTATGCTTATCTACACAAGCGGCACCACCGGTTTACCTAAGCCCGCTATTGTCGAGCACACTCGCATGAACTTTGGTGGTATGAGCTACATGAATATTCATGGTGTTCACGGCACTGACAGAGTCTACTGCTGTCTTCCTTTGTATCACAGCTCCGGCCAAATTGTAGCTACCGCAGTAGCTATACAGAGTGGTGCTACTCTTGTTCTTGGCCGCAAATTCAGTGTCACCAAGTTCTGGGAAGAATGCATTCGATATGATGTCACTGTCATGGTTTACATTGGAGAGATTTGCCGATATTTGCTATCTCAGCCTTTCAATTCAGCCGAGAATAAGCATCGCGTTCGTATGGCTTACGGTAACGGAATGCGTCCAGACGTTTGGAACCGCTTCAGAGATCGCTTCGGTGTTGGCAAAATTAGTGAATTTTATGGCGCTACCGAAGGTCCAAGCAGCTTGTTTAATCCAAATACCAACGAATTTGGAAGTGGTGCCGTCGGTTTCCGTGGCTACCTTACCAGAACTTTGACCGGTGAACTCAAAATTATCAAAATCGACCCTATTTCAGAAGAACCTGTGCGCGACAAGCATGGGTATTGCATCGAAGTAAGTTGAACATATCAATTCAGTACCATTTTATCTTATTTTTGGATCATTTCCAATGTTACTTAACGACTGTTGAATAGTGCGCATACGATGAACCAGGTGAACTTCTTGTACTTATCAAAATGGGAGGCCCTCTCGAATTCAAAGGCTATTACAAGAATGAACAGGCTACAAACAAGAAGATCTTGACGCATGTCTTTGCGAAAGGCGATGCTTACTTCCGAACTGGTGACTTGCTGAAACTTACCAAGGACGGATTTTTCATTTTCGGTGATCGTGTGGGTGACACTTTCCGTTGGAAAGGTGAAAATGTTTCCACAGCCGAAGTCGCACAAGTGCTCGGTGTCTACCCAGGAGTTGCCGAGGCTAACGTCTACGGTACTGAGGTTCCTAATCATGACGGCCGTGCTGGTATGGCTGCTATTGTCATGCAAGATGGTGCCTCTATAGACTTCAAGGATTTCTTTCGTTTCGTTCAACAGCGTCTCCCCAAATACGCTATACCCCTTTTCCTTCGATTTGTTCCAGCGTGAGTACACTGAGCTGAACTTTTTCTCTCATACGCAAAAAACCATACCGCTAACCCCATATTAAAACACTATTTCAGTATGGAAATGACTGGAACGTTCAAGCAGCGTAAGGTTGAATATCGCAATCAAGGCATTGACCTTGCTAAAGTTACCCCTGGTGAACCAGTCTACTGGCTTGTCGGCGATACCTATATTCCCTTTGAAAAGGAAGCAAGTGATCAGATCACGACAGGAAAAGCTAAATTATAAACCGTTAGACACACAAACTGTCATTAACTGACATGAGTGTCATTATGCCCTTAAGTGCCTGATAATAAACCAACCAAATCGTTGTATCTAATACTAGTCAGCATATATTGCCTCTAAGGCAATACAACATGCCATGCCCTACCGATAACCAAAGTATAATCTCGTTGAACGTTTATTATTGCACATGTACAGGGGTTGTCCTAGTAGGTTTTGACAATGACGTCGTAGTGGACAGAGATTTTGCGAAAGAGTCGTGCTTTATGTTTTTTGTGTTTTGAAATGAAAAGCGATACGCAGTCGACTAATATGGTCTGCCGCGACCACCACCAGGGGGCATACCTGGACCGCCTCCTCTGCCACCTCTAAAACCGCCACCACCGCGACCTCCTCGTCCTCGTGCTGTGAGTAACGAACGTATTAGCAAGCTGCGGTAAAAGCTTCAAGCAGTTAGTAAGTGGGAACATACCTTGAGCTCGCGCGACTGTTGCTCGTCCTCTACCCATTCCTATTCCTCTACCCTTCAATGATCCAGGTTTGACATTCTTAAACATTGGCGCATTCTTCAACATGTCTGGGACGATGAAAAATCGAACTTGTGATCCACGAATGTAAACTTGTTCCAACTGAGACACGCGACCATCCCGAGCTGTCACGGTAACTTCTTTGAGTTGCACATTCATATTATCTTCGGCTAAAAGTTGATAAGTGTCGCATGTAAAGACAAGAGGTTTGATTCGTGTGATGGATCGGTGAGGAAACGAGATAAAGTAAATAGAACAATGAGCTTGAAAGATCGCACATTCAAGATATAGAAGCAGAAAGTACAAACCATCGTAAAGTTTTCCGCGGTATAATTGCCCAGTCTTTAATTCAAGCGTAATGATATGTCCCTGGGCTTCATGAAGTAGCTTGATTGGGATACCGATGGACATTTTTTGATATAGATTGAAGTCGCAGCTTAGCAGTGAAGTTCTTCGATGTGTTTATTTGAATGACGTTGTTTGAAAATAAATCTTTAAAAATACTATAAAAACACAATCAGAAGATGCAAAAAAGTGATTTCTGCCGGATTCGAACCGGCGACCGTCTGTGTGTTAGACAGACGTGATAACCGACTACACCAAGAAATCGTAATCTGGCAAGTCGGTTTTTATAGTACTATTGTTCTGTTGTATAATATACCTGCTCAAGCTGGTTCGTTCACCAGCGATTCGTTGGTATCCGTGAGGCAATCAGACATATATATAGTAAATACAGACGATCATTAAATTTTAAATGTGTATTTGGAGCTGTTATTATTACTGAATTTTTCGCCGGATTACCCTTAGAAGTAGGCTTTACCTGCCAGTAGTCAGTGTTGCCTTGATTACCATCAAGACCACATCACCACAATACTTTAAAAAAATCATATGGGGAAAAAAAAATCACATCAGGTAGAAAATATTTTTTATCTTATCCTTACTTACAAACCGTAGAATCGGTCACTAAATATAGCGACTGATATTGACAGGCCGCTTTATACGGCAACGAAGCGCAGATTCATCAGTTTGCACTAGAATCGCATCTTCGTTAGTTTTCTCTTGATGCTCACTATTTAGCAAACCATCACCATTTTTTTTACTCATCATACATGGTTTTTTTGTTCTCTTTATCAGTGGGAGATGTAAATGAGGCTGATTCAATATGTTCCATCCTGCACTACGTTGTATGATTTCTGCTGTCATTGTATTTAACATCTATTTCTTCACCACTTGCTGTGTGAGTATATGTGGTTGATGCCTTTTTCTCGCCCGCTTAAATTATTGATTATTGCGATATAATTTCAGGCTCTCTGCTCTAGTATCGTGATCCTAGTATAGACTTAGAAATGTTGTATAATTGTGAAGGTATTGGACGCATAACACTCCTAAACAACTGTTTACCTTTAATAAATTAATGGGCAGTATATGCACTTTCGCCATAAAGAGCATCTTCCCAGATTTTAAAAACGTAACAAAGCAAGAACAAAGTTTAAAGTCGTGGAATATACGAACGAATTTTTTTATCTTTTCCCATAAACGAGTTTGTAGCAATTGGCCATAGAAATCATGGCCATTTTTTTTTAATCACGCTTTCCCAATTGCATATAACAGTAGTTACAAAAACATAAAGTCAAAAGGTAGGTGTTTCATGCATGCAAGCTCCGAGCGGCTGCTGCTTCTTTTTCGAAATAAAGATTTGCGGTATGAAAAACTAAAACATTTCCTTTTCATTGTTCAACTTGCGTTTATCCTCTCTCACTTTTGAGACAGTATTATTCGTACCCACTGATGAGATTTCAGTGTAGCTAACGCCTTCAGCCGCTTCAAGAATTTGCTTTTTTCGTCTCGCTAAAACAATGCCAGCGGTCATTACACGCAAGGGATAGGTGAAGAATAATGAAGTGACATTCTACTAAAAATTTCTTAAACACTCGCGAGTTTATTACTTTTATAAATCTCAACCAAATTTACTAATTCAAATTGAATGTAATGATTAACGCTCAGACTTTTGCCAATGATCTTTCTAATGTCGGATCCCTGCTTCTGTAGAATCCAAACTAGATGTGATACTACTTGTTATTCAAGTGCTCAGCTCACTCGCGCAAAAAAAAATAAAAATGTGCGGAAGTTCGACAGTGAATGGCTTGGACCATATTGGATAAGTATCGAGAATGACTCACGGGCACATACGAATTAAAAAATTGTTACGAGAATGGGCTATCAGTATGTATCCACGTAGATCGACTCAATGTAGCGAATTTTCAGTATCACTCCACCAACAACACCTTGCGGAAAACAACGCCACGTCAGCGCTCACAACAACGATGACATTGAAGAAGACGCTGTGGATGCCTCTGAGGAGCGTGCACTGACACTGTGACAAAGAAACGATCATAATATCGGAGTGCAAACGTCAAAGTCTATTTGATGCGAAGTACTCGTTGAATATAACCTGAGCCAAAGGTGAAGTATTATCTCAAGGTATCAAGAAATAACAAGCAGTATTATTCTAGTTTGACTCTACAGAAGCAGAGATCCGACATTAAGGGAAAAATAAAGATAGTAAAAGTTACATTCAGATTTATTGCTTTTTTTAAATACAGATAATGCTTATTCTGGTGTAAAATTGAGGTCTCGAAGGGAAGAGGCGGTATTTATTGTCAACTAGACAATAGTTGACCGGCCTCTTGGTCTATAGTATTCCGCATTGGGAGGGGAAGTGAGGAGAAAGAGACAGCCACTGACACATTTATTTCACAGCTTCTCATGTCCCTCCCCTAAGTGTCGACTTCCTCTCCCGTGTGTTGATCCAATAAAATCTTCTGACGAAATGCCAACAACTGCCTTTCCGCATCTCTCGCGGTCAAGACATCAGGGACCATTCCAGCACGTTCGACCCACGGCTTTATGACATCGCCATTCACAGCTCCGGCAAGTCGGCTCCCAAAAGGTGCAGCCAGATGGTAAGTACCGTTAAGGTTTATCCTCGTCACGGTCAATGGGCCTATCCACTTAGCCTCAAGCTTTCCCGCAGGTATATGGTCGCGCATCAAATATCGCGTCGCCTAGATTAAACGTCTTGGAGAACACATCTCGGTCGTATCTCGACTTGAACGTTCTCTTGCGCTCATCCACTTGAGCTTGGACAGATCGCCACAGCTCTTGCATAGCGTGGTCGATCACCTTGATCCCGAGACAAGTTCTTCACTGACATCACCGACGTAATTTTGGCGCGGCGCCGGCCAAGTAGCTGGAGTGCGTTTTTCATACCCGTATAGTAACTTCGCAGAGGTATGTTTAGAAACATCGCTTGGCATCGTCCGTATATCCAATAGTGCTTGGTTAAATTACTTGTCCCAGTTGCTAGTGTCATCCCGTTGGAGGCAGGTTTTAAGAAAGTTTGCGCCAGAGTCTGGTTCAGCCTCTCACACAGACTGTTGACTTGAGACGATACGCCTTGGTGGTCAAGCACTTGCACTGCACTGTGTTCAGGAAATCCTTCACAAATACCGAGTGAAGTTGGACCCACAATCGGTGGGCATGTACTGTGGTACTCCGTGGCGACACACGATCTCGTTGAACAGGAAGTGAGCAGTGGTCCGACGGTCAATAAACTTCACAGGGAGTGGAACTTTTGCCCTCTTGAGCCCTTGTTTCGCTTCCCGTAGAAAAGGTTTGGATTCCTGATCAGGGAACTTGAGTTTACAGACCCGTAGACGGGGGTACTGTCTTCAGACGGGGACATTCAATAAAAGTGGCTTACTTAGAGAGAAAGGTTTGCAAATGAGAGAAGTTTTGCAATCAGAGGCGGAAGGATAAAGAAACAAATCTGAAAAAGGAAGCAGTGAAGTGTCTTCTGAAAAAAATAGAGCAGAGGAGATAAATAGAAAAGGGAAGGTTTATTACTTACAAGTAACAGAACGAAATAAATATGGGCCGTACAAACGTCTTTTTGATATAAGAGAGCAAAGTCCATATAACCTGCATCAAATTGACAGGGAGCTAGGTAGCGGATTGAATAAACAAACCAGATGTCCTTGGATTCGTCCAGAAAATCACAAACCGCCTTTGGTGTCTCCTCAAGGGACTCGGACGAGTCTTCTTCTTCGCCTTCGCCGAACAAGTCTTCCAAGCCTATGCCTGTATGCGCCGGGGGAACTTCCTCATCCTGCCTGAAGCTGACAGTGAATGCGCGCAAGGTGTCTTCTTCGTCCTCCAGATCACCTTCTTCTTCCCACTGGTCGACATGGTTGGCATTGCCGGAAGCGAAAGCGACCTTCCCAGTCTGCGGATGGATGCGTGCATCGTTGTTTATCAGAAAGGTCATTTCCAAGAGTAGAAGGTTGTCCTTGCGGCTTTGAACGAGAAGGTCTTCATCGTACTCTTCGTCTCCAATCTTGACCTTTACGGCACGGCGTACACCTAACGACCTTCCTTCGGTGCCATCAAAGGCTTGAACGTTGATACGGTCGGATTTATCGATAGATAAGCCCAACGCTTCCGCCAAAGGTTCGCTAATGATAGAAGCACCGGCCCCAGTATCCACGGGTCAAGCGTGGTGCTTGTCCTTGCATACCGGCTCCACGGTACAAATTGTCGATGCGTGTCTGCGTGATTTGAGACGCCGTGTCCATGATGAGTTCGTGCATGGCATTGACGAAATCAATGATGTCGTCTTGAGGGGTGGAAACTTGTTGAAGGGCCCGATGTAAGAAGTAATCCAAAGGCCTGGTGAGGCCTGACAACCGATATTGAACATCCGCCATTTGGGTGTCGAACTTTCGGGATAAGGAACCCATATTGACTGAGTTAACTGGAGGCGGTTGATAGTTCCTGAGTAGATTGCGTGGGCAGTCGGCCAGAAAACGTCGCCGATCCATGTCCGGTAGAGGGGACCGGAAAAAATCTTTTTGCATGGAAGGTAACGCTTCCAAAAACTTGGCGTATGGAGTAAATTCCGTGTCTGGAAGGCGAGCCTGGATGCATTCATCGTCTTGGTGTTCTGACCAATCCATGGCAGCCGAGTTGCGGTTGTTTTCCATTGCTGCAATACGGGCATGGAGGTCTGCCACGGTGTTGAGGAGATCGTCTTGTGAGGGAACATTGGTTTGTAAGACGTTTTGATCATCTTTCTTCTCACTTGACTGGTACTCAACCTCTAGTAGATTGGCCGGAGATAACCACTGTCGCTTCCATTGGCCTCAGCAGCTCCTTCCTGCGGCTCGGTTGGTCTTCCTGAGCACTAGAGCTCAGACTCGAACTAGTTTCCGCATCATCATCCGTGCTGAAACCTGTACTATCGTCGGTAGCCATGGAGTCAGAGTCCCCATCTCTACATTCAGCTTATTGACTTTGAGCGTGCGCTTAGCCTTTCGGCCATCCTTACCCCGAAGCCAGCGAATGCCGTCGGCCACATCTTTAGTGACTTTAGGGTCGGAGGTAATCCACTGGGCCGATAAAGTCCAGATGTCAACGATGGAATTCTGCTGGTACGTCTAAAGGATGCATTTCGTCATGATGTACTTTTTATTTTCGTTGATTTACCTGACATCTTGAGAATGCCTTCAACCACTCGTTATGGAGTTGCTGTCGGAAAATAGCTTCTGAATTTCTTGGCTTGAATTCAGCATGGAAGTATCCGCAGAAAGTGGTCCAGTCAGCTATTCCTCACTTTCCGGACGTCGTAATCCAAATTGTTGCCACCACAAGCTGGCGTCTTCGCGTAACAGGTTGACTGCAAAGGCAACTTGTCGGATGGATGTCATGGGTACGATGTTTCGATATCGTTCCATGGAGAAAATCCAATCTTCTACTGCGCTTGCTGTGCGCGTTCCTCTGAATGTGTCAGGGTTTGCGACACGAACACCTCTAGGAAGTTCCTTCACATTCGGTTTTTCTGCTGTCTTCTTTCTTTCTTGTTCACTTCTCATTTCGGCTAAGCTGATGGGAAAAAATTTCCGTCTGCTTTTCGCAATGTGAAATGTCGGAATGTCGCAGAGAATGTTGACAGATTCCAACAACCACTGCGCGTTAATCTCGGGATTCTCTGACATTTGATAATTGATGCCAATGGCTGCGGTATCAGGCGCTTCTTGGTGATCTAACTATGCAATCACAATCGTATCGTCTTCTTGGTTCGCTTTCGTCGCAACAGTGTCATCCTCTTGGTTCCTTACGATAGTTCCTGGCATCTCAAGCTCTTCTACATTTTTGTCATCGACGCTTCTGTTACGTGTGCGGTGCAAAAAGGTCAGGAAACCAGAGATCCTTTTTTCATACAAAGAGAAGAGGCGGTATTTATAGTCAAACGGACTATGAGTGACGTCGGCTCCCAAAGGTCCAGCCAAGTGTAAGTGCGGTACCCTTCTTGTAAGTAACGTAAGATACCAAGGTGCTTAGGGCATTCCCATTCTTGCGCTTGTTTTCAAAGATTGATTACTGATAATTTCTGATATTGGTAGTTTGCTGATTTTCTTCTTTTTTATGTTGTTTTGTACTGACTTTTTTTTTTTTTGGCTATGAGTTGCTGCCTCTATTAGTAGTCCCTTGGTTACAGTTTGGGGTGCTCCCGGATTTTTACGTTTACTGACGGAAAAGGTGCTCTAATTGACCCAGGCGCGACAACGCATCTGCTGGGTTGTCAGCACTCTTACGATACATAACGGTGTAATCATACTCCATGAGACCAGCGGTCCAGCCAACTGGTTTCGAACTTGGCTTCGGATTGTTGAAAATACATTCTAATCCAGCGTGATCAGTGAAGAACTTGAAGTGTCTCCCTGCAAGATAGTGCTTAAAGTGTTGGACTGCCCAGACGACTCCCAGAGCTTCAAAGGTGAGTAGGAGCATAATTCTCCTCAGTTTGCTTCAGAGACCGGGAAGCGTATGCAATTACAGTCTCCCGTTGTTAGATACATCAGGCGACTGTGAGAGAATTGCACCTCTTGGACTATAGTAAGTCCGCATAGAGAGGAAGTGTGGAGAGAAGACTAAGATAAATATATCGCGGCGTCTGTCTTCATGAGACGGATATGGTATGTATTGGTTAATAAAATATTGTTCCTCTGTCAAAGTATCCTTGGGTTCAGTTGTAGTAGACAGTCTCGTGCTTCTTGTACCAACTATCAGTCCGGAAAATAGTTATTCAAGAGAAAGATAGCCGTTACCGATAATCATAATTACAGCGGTCCAACTTTCAAGAAAATCCGAATTGGTCCAGTGGTCAGGATTACCCGCTCTCACCGGGTCGGCCGGGGTTCGATTCCCCGATTCGGAGATTTTTTTGCATT